TGGGAGTCTGTATAAGCTGCTCATCATCTTGACGTTAATCCTTCTTTCTGTATTGGAGACTAATGCCCATTATCACCATCAATCCCTAATTTTTAAGTGACACCTATGAAAACACAATTCATAATTTATGTGTTACCATAGGGGTTGCTTAAAAAATATCGATTGATGGTGAAAACGGGCATAAATGACCTTGTGATGATCTTCCCAGGTCTTTGCGGCGCGGTGCACACCGGTGTCTCCAAGGTAATCCGACTCCGGCTTCAGGAGCCTGGCGCTGAGAACATCAAGGTCATCTGCGTGGGCGACAAGTCGCGAGGTATCCTGCAGCGCTTGTATGGCAAGCACATCATCAGTGTGTGCAACGAGGTGAGCTCAAACCCCCTTATTAATAAAAAGTTACACTTGGGATGAACTCTGGATTAAAATGACATTTCCATACTAAATGACAATTTAACTAGGGTGTAACTTTTATTAAAAAGGGGGAAACTTTTTAAAAATTGGATCATAGTCCTAATAATGGACGTTTGGAACTGATATGTATTGATGTTAGCAAAGAGTAGTTATAAGTACTACTACTCGGAAATGCGAGTCGTCAAGTCCTAATTGTTTATTACTATGTAGGCATCAGTAACCGCATCTCAAATATAGCTTGCCCTACTCATCATATCAACGAAAAAATATCGGTTTTAATTTTTATTTTGTTTTAATTTTTATGGCATAATCTTATATCAGCTGCTTCTATCTACTAGTGTTTCAAGTCAACATCTTAATCTTAGAAACTAGCTCTTCTTGTCCGTGTTTTATAAACGTGTGCATGCATAATACAACACATTGTAGTTTCAACCAGTACAGCGCGCTGCAGCGTCTAATCGTTTATTTATTCAAGATAGTCCCTGCCTCTTTCAAGTCCTTCGAGCCAGATATTAACATAGTCCTTCGAGCCGGATATTAACATGGTCCTTCGAGCCGGATAAAAACCAACAACATCTGAACAAATAATCCGCCAATACACAATCCTTTCTCAGATCGGGCGCCTCCCGCCCACTTTCATCGACGCGTCCAAGATCGCCAGCGGCATACTGACGTCGGGCTACGACTTCGGCTCCGGCAAGATCATCTACAACAAGTTCAAGTCCGTCGTGTCGTATATGCAGTCCGATTTGCCGTTGTACAGCCAGAAGGCTGTTGAGGTGAGCTTTTAAAAATAAGTTTTAGCATAAATATCACCGAATTATTAATTGCTCCAGTAATATATTATTCTATTAAAATCTGTAAATCCAACAATAGGGATGATGAAATCTAAATTCTATTTAGTCCGTCAGACAGATAATAATTTCATAATCGAATAATTACAGTAATTAGTTATTAAAGTTAAAATGTCGCGTGACGTCACTTTTGAGTAAAAAATCTACTCAAGCGTGACGTAATGCGCCATTTCAACTTGATGTAGCACTTATTATTTAATTAACCGCTTGAGTCCCAGACGGCATTCATTAATGCCATAACAATTGATTATCTATTGTGTCTAGATTAGCGGGCCTTGAAGGATTAAGAAAGAAAATAAAAAATATGAGTAATATTTTCTAATTATCTGTCTGACGGACAAATAATTGAAATTTTGTCATCTAGCCTATTGGTTCCGATCAGTTCATTGGAACAGGAATTAGTATTGACTAATTTTTGTTTTTCTTTGGAATACATCATACTTATCAAATATCAAATACGTACCAAACTAAGATGGCGCAGCGACTCAAATTGAATCTGCGAATCTCCACTCCGATCTGTTCTATGGCTGCGCCACCTCTCGTTATTAATTATCGACACTGTTTTGATATTTTAATTCTACAACTCCTACGTTTTCAATTCCAGGGCGCCCCGAAACTGGCGACATACGATTCTCTGGATGCTGACGTCATCCAGTCATACATGGAGTTCTCGCTCGCTTCCATGGTGTTCTACGCGCTCAAAGAAGGTACATAACACTGCTATCTGTCCTTACATAACTTAAACTTAATTTTATCATACCTCTTATCTTGCTAGGAGAACGTATTAATTTTTGGTGTAATATTGGATACCAGTAAGAGCCACAGCACAAATGATACAGTGAGAAAATCGCCGACGCAGCATCACGATTTCGCGACTTCATTCGTTCGAACGCGGTATCGGAATCGCGCGTTTTAGTGCCTGCTATCGCCGCGTCAAGCTTCTTAAGAGTAGGCGCACACCGTTGATTTTTAGTTGGCCGATAGTTGTGCCCGATTTTAATTTGTATGAAGAATCGGCCAAATCGAATCGGCGTAGTGTGCGCACTCCCATACATGCCCATACTGATCAACTGCCCGACTAAACTATCGGCCGACGAAATATCAACGGTGTGCGGTGTAGAATGTGTGGTCGTTGCATTCATCTTCTAAAAGTCGCAGATATTAAAAAAAAATAGATATTGAATAATTTTGAAAATTAGTCAAGTCTGTAAAAACAGTAAAATCGAACTGTCAGCTTTTTGATAATAAAAATACAGCAATTACTCGGTGACTAATCATTTAACCTCATTATCATTAATGACAGCTCACTGATAAACAATCGTTATTCCCAGGTGCGTGCTCCGAACAATCTTCCCGCATGACGGCTATGGACAACGCTTCCAAGAACGCCGGAGAGATGATCGACAAACTTACGCTCACCTTCAACAGAACCAGACAGGCTGTCATTACCAGGGAGCTGATCGAAATCATCTCTGGTGCCGCCGCCTTGAACTAAACATCCGGCTCGAAGGACCAAAAATGGACATTTTGGATCTACGTTCTTTTTGGATGGGTTATATGGAAACGTCTGGAAATTGTGGGTGTTTATTGAATTGGTCCTTCAGCTATATTATTATTCTCAACGATATTTATTCTACATACTGCCGGTTCAAGTCTTTGCCGACATTCCGATATGAGTGTTTGGAGGGTATCCGTAAAACACGCAATACTCGACACTGGCTTTAACACCTTTACCGATATTCTGGGACACTCGTATTTATATGTAAATTGTATCAAAATTAAATATTCTCGATGACGAGTTGTTATGAACTAGAAAATGTACAACTGAAACCGATTATGTAAGGATGCAGTGGTATTTAGCAATAAAGTATTGTTTAGACCAAATATTTCTTTTATTACCTAGTCCTTGCCCTTACAAGTAAAGGTCATAGCAGACTTATCAACTCGGAAATGGATCAACACCTTTCGCGCGCTGTCAATCGGAGGCGTTTACATTATGGTGCGGATAAACTCCATACTGCAAGAATTTCTTACAAAGAATAATGATTGCCGCGATTTGATACGGTTTCGATCCCTTTCCGGGTTGATAAGTGTGCTTCATCCTTTAATCTGCAGTGTCACACGAAAAAAATGAGGTGGCATAGAAACTCAAAAATACTAGATGTAAAATTTTTATTTTCTAACTTACAATCCATAACAGTCTTAGCGTTAAAACATTATTCTATAACTGTGTAGCACACAAAATTTACTATTGCTTTTTAAGGCTATACAGTATGCATGCTTGCTCAAGTTTATACATGCCGAATAGCAGCATGATCTTTTAGCAAAAACAGTCTAAAATTAAAAAGACATGCTTACGAGTGTTGATTTGTCGTTAGTTTTTGAGCAAACTTTAAATATTATTGCTAGCATGGTTTTATACCAATGTTGTGTCAAATAAGTCATTCTAAACATGCCTCTATTTTAAGACTACACAATAATAACATTATTTATCAATATACTTCAGGATTTTAAAGGACAGGCAGGTTTTAAATTCATACAGTCAACGGCAAAATTATGAAAACATATTTACTTATTATTTAAATTCCTTTTAGAGAAATCTGACGTCCGTATTCACAAACATTACTATGAGGTCTCACAGTGCGCGTGGACGCACAGGGTGACACGAACCAATCACAGAGCTCTATTCAACGCTGTGCGTTCGATTTTCTGCTTCACTTAAGCCAGCATCGTTTGTGAATATGGGCGCGTATGTTTTATCAAAGAAAAACCCCGTTTTTCCTTTAAGTTTTCATTACATTTGTTGGTATAATTTAAAAGTGTCTCCATAATTTTGCAAACAACTGTAGATAGACAGTGGTGTAGTCCCAGTCTAATAAATAGACTATTCGAACAATACATAGAGCTTGATTCTTCACAATACTTTAATAGCTGTTAAAATAGTGCCAAAGTCTTGATCCCTGATCACTAAACCTAGTTTAGCAATTTTAACACACACATCAAAATTGTTACCATGTCTAATTTAGGTACTATCCGTTCGCTTTAAGTTTTCCGCTGGCGATATAACGTCGCTCGAAGGGAAGCGTCTATAACTTTATCAAACTATAAAATATTTTTATTTCTTGTTATTGATAAAAAAATGTGTATTTGCGTAAAATATGACACATAAATTGCGTTTAATCACTAACAAATTGCTTTTAATCGCGGTTGGGGGAGGGGACGTGCATTCCACGGACCGGAAAACTTAGCGCGAACGGGTAGTATCTTTAACAGTAAATTCTAACCTGTCACTTTTATATCCCAACAGCATTCAACTATACAATAAAATACATGGGTTAACGTTATATATTATTAAATCTATAAGGTCACTTACTGTAAGGCTTCCTTTCGCTTGTGTGGTGTTAAAATTTTTTGAAACTACTTCTTGAAATATCAAACATTTCACTAAAAATATTTTTAAAACTACCAAATTTCAATAAACGGAGGTAAACAATAAAAACGGAATAAGTTTTAACAGCCGAGAACAAGAAAACAAAATGAATGGCAGATGATAATATTTACATTAAAATGTGATGATTTTTGCAAAAACAAATCGTTGCAGTATATTATTTTCTAAAGGAATGTAGCCTAACAGCAACGGCTACGTATAATACTCATGATTGCATTATATTATAAACATAATAAGTTTAATAAAGTTATATTTACAAGACAGGCCGCCAGCGACATANTAATAACATTTATCATACTTCGGGATTGTGACAGGCAGGTTCTAAATTCATACAGTCAACGGCAAAATTATGAAAACACATTTACTTATTATTTAAATTCCTTTTAGAGAAATCTGTCGCCCGTTTTCACGAACATTACTATGAGTCTCATAGTGCGTGTGGACGCACAGGGTGACACGAACCAATCACAGAGCTCTATTTAACGCTGTGCGTTCGATTTTCTGCTTCACTTAAGCAAGCATCGTTTGTGAATTGGGCGCGTATGTTTGATGAAAGAAAAACCCAGTTTTTCCTTTAAGTTTTCATTACATTTGTTGGCATAACGTAAAAGTGTCTTCATAATTTCACAAAAAACTATAGCGAGACAGTGGTATAGCCCAGTCTAATAAATAGACTATTTGAACAATATAGAGCTTTTTTTTTACAATACTTTAATAGCTAAAATGTTAAAATAGTACCAAAATATAAGATTTATCTCTAAACCTAGTTTAGCAACTTTAACTGACATATCAAAATTGGTGCCATGTTCAATCTATGCAATTTTAATAAGAAAATAATTAAAAAAATATTAAACTCTAACCTGTCACTTTTATATCCCAACAGCATTCAACTATACAATAAAATACATGGGTTAACGTTATATATTATTAAATCTATAAGGTCACTTACTTTAAGGCTTCCTTTCGCTTGTGTGGTGTTAAAATCTTTTTGAAACTACTGCTTGAAATATCAAACATTTCACTAAAAATATTTTTAAAACTACCAAATTTCAATAAACGGAGGTAAACAATAAAAACGGAATAAGTTTTAACAGCCGAGAACAAGAAAACAAAATGAATGGCAGATGATAATATTTACATTAAAATGTGATGATTTTTGCAAAAACAAATCGTTGCAGTATATTATTTTCTAAAGGAATGTAGCCTAACAGCAACGGCTACGTATAATACTCATGATTGCATTATATTATAAACATAATAAGTTTAATAAAGTTATATTTACAAGAAAGGCCGCCAGCGACATTGTGTATTCCCGAAAAGTGAGGAGTGAGTACCTGAAACAAATAAAGTAAGTTAACAAATGGATTAGTTGCAAGATAAGAGAACTGAATAGCCAGGCCTCTAACCCTAGTAACATTAGATTTTGCTATCGGCGCGGCGAGAAGGAAATATAAATAAAATAAGTAGTCTGTAAACTTTGCTAACATAGCCTGACGGATTAGAAATCTGAAGTGCCAATGGGCAGGGCACATAGTACGTAGAACTGCCGGCGATGGGGCAGCAAGGTTCTGGAGTAGAGGCCACGTATCTGCGCAGCATAAGACGTCTTACGTCTAAGTGGACAGATGACCTCATAAAGGTTGCAGGAAGGCGCTAGATACTGGCCGCTACTAACCTGCCAATCTGGAAATCATTGGGGGACGCCTATGTTCAGCAGTGAGCGTCCTGTGATTGAAATGATGACATACATCACCGATGCGCACCATTGGCGGCGCTATGGTATCTTAAAGGATAGAGCCCTTACATTTCAATCAAACTACTCACGTAATCGCGTGAACTATTAATCACATAGCGTCGCTTAGCTTCATGCCCCGTCGCTCACCTAGCACAACGGGTATTGGAAGTGCCCTCTTAATTCAATCAAATCAACTTACATCACACGCTCACCAGTTGGCGCCACTGTAGAGGACTAAAGTCCGGTCGCCGAGCACTTAAAATTTTGTTCAATGACCCCTAGCTACCCATCCCTATCGCTCGCGCGTAATTATATCGCTGTCGCGACTGTGCGACGGGCGGCCGCAGTGTGTGCGAGCGCGAGCGAGAGACCAGACTATCACTTTTGGACTCCCCAGGATGGGCCACTTACAGTCAGGTCTTGTAGCTCGCCAGTGGTGTTAGCTGTTAAGCATAGAAATAATAGTAATTATTACTTCACTCTTGCAGGGCGGGCAGGCGCTCCCCGGGCGGCGTGCGCCACACGGCCGAGGACGTCCGCTTCAGCCGCGCGCGCTCGATGTCCGGAAAGATGTGCCGCAGGTCCGGACTGTGCACCCGGACGCTGAACAAACGGTCCACGTGCGCTTGGGACACTTGGCACTGGATCATTAGGGCTTGCTTGCGGGCCTGGGGAGAGGAAATAATCTGATATACTAATATTATAAAGCTGAAGAGTTTGTTTGTTTACTTGAACGCGCTAATCTCAGGAACTACCGATCCGATTTGAAAAATTATTTCAGTGTTAGACAGCCCATTTGTCGAGGAAGGCTATAGGCTACCATCACGCTACGAGTAAAAATGAAAAATGTTGCGAAAACGGGTTTTCACGCGTACGAAGTCACGGGCACAGCTAGTAAATTAATAAAACAGAAACATTATGGTGGGTGTCGCGAAAGTTCTCAAGAGGCGACCGCGGAAGAGTGGCAACTAGAGAACAGAAAAATGAGTGTCGGTGGACTGACGATTTATTGAAGGTCGCGGAATACACTTGGACACAGGCAGCGTCGGTCGTTGTGGAAATCTGTGAGAACCAGCAGAAAGGTCACTGACTCACTCATCACAAAATCTAAGAAACTACAAGTGCCAGGAGTCTCAAATTTTCCTTCCTTTTGGAACATCTTCAAAACAATCCATTCTGACCTTAGAAGTGCCCCAGACAGGCACGGGTCGCTCGGGCGGCTCCGAGTCTGAATCCGAGTGAAAATACTGGAAGCCGTCCGCTATTTAAATCGTGGCGCTAGATATACAGCTTATAGTTTTATCGGTCGATGATAAATAATCCTCAAATAAAAACTTCGAAACGAATCCTTTTCTGACCTTAGAACGTACCAGAAAGCGCAGCCGTCTCTGACGACCTCATAAAGGAAAATTTTCCGTGCTTTTAAGCGATTTTGTGAAAAATATTATTGGCAGGTAGTTGCTAATTGCTCATAAGATAGGCCCCCTTANGCGCTAGATATACAGCTTATAGTTTTATCGGTCGATGATAAATAATCCTCAAATAAAAACTTCAAAACGAATCCTTTTCTGACCTTAGAACGTACCAGAAAGCGTAGCCTTCTCCGACGATCTCATAAAGGTAGCGGGAAGGCGCTGGATGCAGGCCGCCACCGGCCATTGTGGAAATCATTGGGGGAGGCCTATGTTCAGCAGTGAACGTCCTGTGGCTGAAATGATGATGATTTTCACCTTAGAAGTGCTCCAAGCGGGCACGGGTCGCTCGGGCTGTTTCAAGTCTGAATTAGAGTAGAGATTCTGGAAGCAGTCCGCCATGATTTACGTGGCGCGCATCCTAGCTATAGACGTTTTTATCGGTCGACAATGAGGATCCTACAGTGAAACTTCAAAAAATATAACCTTCCTTCGGGCGCAAACGGGTTCGTTCGTTTCAGCCGAAAGATGTCCACTGCTGGACAAAGGCCTCCCCCAAGGATTTCCACAAAGACCGATCCTGCGCCGCTCGCATCCAGGCACCTCCCGCGACCCTCACCAGATCGTCGGTCCACCTACGGCACGGCAGACGGGTAAATAACATTTATTCCGACCTTGGAAGTGCTCCAGGCGGGCACGGGTCGCTCGGGCGGCTCCGAGTCGGAATCAGAGTTGAGATACTGGAAGCCGTCCGCCATGTTATACGTGGCGCGTATCCTAGCTACATACAGGTAACGATTCTATCGGTCGATGTTGAATCTTTTTAGTCGGGCACTCTTGTCAGAGTGGTCGTGGTTGCGCTGACGAGGCACACGGTGGATGTCATCTCCTGGCGATGTGTGTCTATTTCTGACGGTTATAGAGTACGCTGAAGTGGCAATGGGCAGGGCACATAGTACGCAGAACTGACGGCCGATGGGGCAGCAAGGTTCTGGAGTGGAGGCCGCGTACCGGAAAACGCAGCGTGGTACAAGCTTCCACCTACAAGGCGGACAGTCTCATAAAGGTAGCAGGAAGGCGCTGGACGCAGGCCGCTGCCAATCGGTCATTGTGGAAATCATTAGGGGAGGCCTATGTTCAGCAGTGGACGTCCTGTGGCTGAAATGATGATGCTCCGCTCCTTTGTTGGCCCTGAACTATGATGAATATCCTGCGATAAAACCTTCAAAACAACTGCATTCTGACCTTGGAAGTGCTCCAGGCGGGCACGGGTCGCTCGGGCTGCTCCGTCCGCGTGGCGCGTATCCTAGCTACATACAGGTAACGATTCTATCGGTCGATGATAACAATCTATCTATTTAAAACGAAAAGTCATTGACTGACTCATTCATCACGAAATCTCAGAAACTACAAGTGCTAAGAGCCTCAAATTTTGCATGGAGGTTCCTTTTAGACGTTCCTTTTCTCACTAAGACGGGATTTTACGAAACTCCACCCCTAAATGAGTAAAAGAGGGTGGAGTCTCCACGTGTACGAAGTCGCACGCACAGCTAAAGCCTGGTCCGTGAGCACGTAGAATTTTGTCCAATGACCTTGGCTCGCACACTCACTGTGGGCGCACGTCGCACAGTCGCGACAGCAATATGATTACGCGCGAGCGATAAGGATGGGTAGCTTGGGGTCATTGGACAAAATTCTACGTGCTCACGGACCAGGCTTTAGTCCTATAATAAAACCTTCAAAACAATCCATTCTGACCTTAGAAGTGCCCCAGGCAGGCACGGGTCGCTCGGGCGGCTCCGAGTCGGAATCCGAGTTAAGATACTGGAAGCCGTCCGCCATTTAAATCGTGGCGCTAGATATACAGCTTATAGTTTTATCGGTCGATGATAAATAATCCTCAAATAAAAACTTCAAAACGAATCCTATTCTGACCTTAGAACGTACCAGAAAGCGCAGCCTTCTCTGACGACCTCATAAAGGAAAATTTTCCGTGCTTTTAAGCGATTTTGTGAAAAATATTATTGGCAGGTAGTTGCTAATTGCTCATAAGATAGGCCCCCTTAATTTAATTTATTGTTCGTGGTGCATAATCTTTTTCTTAAAGGTTTTAAACCTTTGTTTGTCACCTGTCATCCGCTTTGCAATGGAGGGAAGTCGAACCTTAATTTCGAACTCCTCCTATGTTCTTCTGATTAATTTCGTTGCGGGTCCAATGACAGTTTAACTTTCCCCCGGGACAAACTTGACCTTCATTGGTTGGGTTTTTGTGGCGGTCAAGCTGTAGATCCTGGCTAGATAGGAGTTGCAGTGCACAGTGGTGGGAACGAGAGGTGGGAATAGTCCCGTTTTTGACGACCTCATAAAGGTAGCGGGAAGGCGCTGGACGCAGGCCGCTACCAATCGATCAACATGGAAAGCATTGGGGGAGGCCTATGTTCAGCAGTGGACGTCCAGTGGTCAGAAATAATGATAATCTGACCTTAGAAGTGCTCCTTTGTTGGCGATCGACCGCGTGCTCTCTTGCCTTCCACCTGGCCCTGAACTATGATGAATATCCTGCGATAAAACCTTCAAAACAACTGTATTCCGACCTTAGAAGTGCTCCAGGCAGGCACGGGTCGCTCGGGCGGCTCCGAGTCGGAATCANGAGCGATAAGGATGGGTAGCTTGGGGTCATTGGACAAAATTCTACGTGCTCACGGACCAGGCTTTAGTCCTATAATAAAACCTTCAAAACAATCCATTCTGACCTTAGAAGTGCTCCAGGCTGGCACGGGTCGCTCGGGCTGCTCAGAGTCTGAATCCGAGTTAAGATACTGAAAGCCGTCCGCCATGTATACCGGCTCAGTGTGCGCAGAATGGCCGGGCGTGCCCACTTTAAGCGGAGTGTTCTCTGAAAATAAGGAGTAATTTAAGTAATTATCTGGCAATAGGCTAGTTTCCTAAAAAAAATTTTTTAGTCCATCAATTTTAATATAAAAAAATATTGAACACATATATTTTTGATTGTCAATCAAACAAATAATTACTAAGTTATAGTGCGTTGAAGTTCCGCGAGACGTCACAAAGTGCTGCACTTTTACGCACTCATTGACGTCACGGGCCTTTTCTTTAGAACTTTGGCACGCTTTATCTCTTTACATTTTCATTAGTTTTAAAAAGTGAAAAATACGTGTCGAGTAGTTTTTGATAAGCTAACTGACGGACTAATTAAAACTCTTGCTTTTTTACCCAGGAAACATCCCTATTTATTGAAGATCTGAGGCTGGCAATACACGGACCGCTCGAGCAGTTAGTCAGTGATCATACACGGACCACTCTTGTAGTCAAGAGTCAACAGCTTGAAGCTGCCAGTGATAACTGCTCGAGCAGTTGGTATTAACTGCTCAACAAATCACAAGCGCGCGCGCCGTGGAATGAAGAAAGTGGGCGGAGGTAACTGCGCGAGAGCTGTCCACAGCTCGAGCAGTCAGTGTATGGCTGGCGACTGTTTGACCGCACGATGAAAATCCACCGTGCTGTCGACCGCCCGAATCAGTTGCAACCGCTCGAGCGGTTCGTGTGTGTGCGTCCATAAATTCTGCAGATCACTGTGCAGTCGCAGCTTGAAGCTGTCGACCCTGACTGCTTCAAGCGGTCCGTGTATTGCCGGCCTGATAGATATTTCATCACCTTCATTATTATAGTCCGGTCGCTGAGCACGTAGAATTTCGTCCAATGACCCCAAGCTACTTATTCTTACCGCTCGCGCGTAATGTGCTGTCGCGACTGTGCGACGGGCGGCCGCAGTGAGTGTGCGAACGCGACAGCAATATAATTACGCGCGAGCGATAAGGATGGGTAGGTTGGGGTCATTGGACGAAATTCTACGTGCTAGGCGACCGCGCTTTAGTCATGAGTCTCCACTACAAAAACACAATCTAATTTACTAGAGGTTATTCCCGCCGCCACTCGACTATAGTGGTGAACGTTACACAGGCAAAATCATATTTAGCTCAACACGAGGGTTTAACGGGATTATTAGTAAAAAAACTTTGCTGATTTTTGTCCTATTTTTTGTGTGTTTATCTGTGTATGAAAATTGTTTATTTCTCAAATATTCATGGTAAATAAATAATATAAAAAATAACTTTTCTAAAAAGAAAACTTAGAAGAAAGTGGTTAAATTAATGATTTCTTCCCAATCCCCATGCTATCCACCAGGTTTGGGGTCTGAAATTAGCATTTACTAGTCTTTTTACGCATTCGATAAGATGGAAAGAGTGTTGGTTTTGATTCTACTCTGACTTAACTACCCGGTTAAATGGTACACCAACAACAAAACACATAAGGATAGATCATAAAGGTGTGTGTCTATGCATAGATACTCACGTTTGTCTTCCAGTCGATGTTTTAACTTCTGCTTTTCAATGTATTCCTTTTGCCTCTTTTCTATTTCTTTGGCCATTATTGCAGCCTCCTTTTTCATTCTGTGAAAGAGATATGGTTTCAAAATTAAATCAAGAAAATTATAAAATCATCAATTAGGGTAAACTGTCAGTCATTGGACACNTATGGACCCTTTTAAAACAAATTGCCAGGCTCTCTAAACGGAGTGACATTTGAGAGATTTGATTTTGTGATCGATTCACTGCACAAAGGAAAAACGTATAAAATACAGGGTGAAAACAATAAGGCTGGGTTGCACCATCTTACTTTAACTTTGACAAATGTCAGAAATCTGTCAAACTCCATACAAAAAGCACCGGTTATCGTTATAGTTACGATCAAAGTTAGGTGGTGCAACTCAGCTTAAGTGATCTCACTTGATTATTTTTAAACTATAGATATTGAAAAACTTGTTACTGATCCTGAAAGTGCTTCACGAGCTCTTACAAACAGTACCAATTACAGGTTACAGAATAAACTGGATCTATCCGAAAATACAATGTTTCCAGCTTCCATACATTTTGGTACAGCCACATAATATTAAAAACTACACAAGAAATCGTAAAACTGGTTACTTATCCTAAGTGCTTTACGTCACGAGTCACTTCATGGAGTCCACGTACTGGCAAACGCAGCGTGAGACAAATTAAACATTATAAAAGTTGTGGGAAGGCGCTGGATGCAACTGAAATGATGATGACTCACGTCACTGATGCGCGACCGGTGGCGCCGCCCCATGGTGTATTACACTACTTTTGAAATTCGATCAAGCTACTTAATATCATTCGAGTACGTAGCTTAAGTAGTCGCGTAGGGCCCGCATTGCTTCAATATGGGTTGCATTACCCGTTGCTCACCTAAAAAAATGGGTACCTAATGGAAGGCGCTGAATGCAGCTGAAATGATGATAAATATGTATAGGCGATGGTTAGGCACCTCAATGTCGCAGGGAAAATGTGTCGCACGTTCGGAACTAAAGACTCGGCACGACTTTTGGTGTCGAATAGAATGAAGAGGTTAACTATCTAAAGACCGGTTTGTGAGCACGTAGAATTTTGATCAATGACCCCAAGCTACCCATCCTTATCGCGCGTAATTGTGCGACGGGCGCCCGCAGTGAGTGTGCGAGCGCGACAGCAACATAATTACGCGCGAGCGATAAGGATGGGTAGCTTGGGGTCATTGGACAAAATTCTACGTGCTCGCAGACCAGACTATAATTTTAGTTCGTCTATCTACTCACGTCACTCGTGCAGGGCGGGCAGGCGCTGTCCGGGCGGCGTGCGCCACACGGCCGAGGACGTCCGCTTCAGCCGCGCGCGCTCGATGTCCGGGAAGATGTGCCGCAGGTCCGGACTGTGCACCCGGACGCTGGACAGCCGGGCCACGTGCGCCCGGACACTTGGCGCTGGACAGGGCCGGGAGCAGAACACGGCTGGGGCAGGAAGGTTCTGGAATGATGGCACTTACCAGGAAAGCGCAGCGGAAGACGTTCCACTACAAGATGGACAGATGACCTTATGAAGGCGCTGGATACCAGGTTGCTATCAACCAGCTAATCTGTCTTGAGAGGCCTATGTTCAGCAGAGGACGTCCTGTGGCTGTAATGGTGACTTACACCACTAAGGCATGACCAGTGGCGCCGCTATAGTATCATAATGGATAGGGCCTTTACATTTCAATCAAACTACTCACGTAATCGCGTGAACTATTAGTCACATAGCGTCGCTTAGCTTCATGCCCCGTCGCTCACTAAGGACAGCGGGTATTGGAAGTGCCCTCTCAATTCAATCACATCAACTTACATCACGCGCTCACCAGTTGGCGCCACTGTAGAGGACTAAAGTCCGGTCGCCGAGCAGATCGAATTTCGTCCAATGACCCCAAGCTATCCATCCTTATCGCTCGCGCGTAATTATATTGCTGTCGCGACTGTGCGACGCGCGCCCGCAGTGAGTGTGCGAGCGCGACAGCAACATAATTACCCGCGAGCGATAAGGATGGGTAGCTTGGGGTCATTGGACAAAATTCTACGTGCTCACAGACCGGACTATAATTATAATTCGTCTATCTACTCACGTCACTCTTGCAGGGCGGGCAGTTATTAGTTAGGAGGCATTCGCTTCAGTCGCGCGCTTGATGACCGAGAAAACGTGACGTAGGTCCAGGACTAAATTGTGCCGCTTCTTTGGTGTCTATTTCTGTAATTTCTTGTTTTGTTTGGAATACAATAGTCTCTTGATGACCGAGAAAACGTGACGTAGATCCGGGACTAAATTGTGCCGCCTCTTTGGTGTGTATTTCTGTAATTTTTTGTTCTGTTTGGAGTACAATAGTGTATCTACTCACGTCACTCGTGCAGGGCGGGCAGGCGCTGTCCGGGCGGCGTGCGCCACACGGCCGAGGACGTCCGCTTCAGCCGCGCGCGCTCGATGTCCGGGAAGATGTGCCGCAGGTCCGGACTGTGCACCCGGACGCTGAACAAACGGTCCACGTGCGCTTGGGACACTTGGCACTGGATCATTAGGGCTTGCTTGCGGGCCTGGGGAAAGAAATATTAAATTAATAAAACAGAAACGTGATGAATTGGGGAAGAAAGTTCTCGAATGACAACCATAAGTTGGAAAACGTAGTGTAGGTAGGTAGGTCGGTGGACTGACGATCTGGTGAAGGTCGCGGCAAGAAACTGGATGCAGGCAGCGCGGGACCGGTATTTGGAAATCTTATTTACATGCGTGTTTCATTAAAAAAGCCGCGGTAGTTGTGAATGCGAAGCTTCACCCAGCAATTCTGCAAAGAGTATTATTTTCTTCAATAATAGTGTCAACCTTTAAAAGTCCGTTGTTGCATATAACCCGGGCACGGGTCGCTCGAGCTGTTCAGAGTTTGAGGTACTGGAAGCCGTCCGCCATTTAAATCGTGGCGCGTATCCTAGCTACATACAGGTAACGGTTCTATCGTGGATGATGAATCTTCTTAGTCGGGCACTCTTGTCAGAATGCTCGTGGTTGCGCTGACGAGGCACACGGTGCGGTGGTCGATGTCATCTCCTGGCAATGTACTTCCATTTCTGACGGTTAGAGGCGTCGCGAGTACATTGGACCATGGTGGACTCAGTAGCCTTTGTGATCGTCTATCCAACGGTTAGCGATCGACCGTGTGCTCATAAATAACATCTATTCTGTACCTCTAGTACGAAAAACTTTCGAGTTCGTTTCGTTGCGTATTCAAAGTGTCATCGAAAAATTTTGTATGAAAAATTAAACAGCGCCCCCTAGGGCGGCTCTAATATAGGGGGCGCTGTTTAATTTTTCATACAAAATTTTTCGATGACACTTTGAATACGCAACGAAACGAACTCGAAAGTTTTTCCTACTAGAGGTACTGACCTTAGAACTGCTGCAAGCGGGCACGGGTCGCTCGGGTTTCTCGGAGTGAATTATGAGATACTGGAAGCCGTCCACTATTTAAATTGTGGCGTACATCCCAGCTAAAGACGTTACGGTTCTATCGGTCGACGATAACAATTATTGCGATAAAATCTTCAAGACAAATCCTATTCTGACCTTAGAAGAACGTACCGGAAAACGCAGCCTAGGACGTCCAGCGACAATGTGGACCGACGAACTTATAAAGGAAGTAGGAAGGCGTTGGATGCAGGCCGCTGCCAATNTTCCTTTTCTCACTAAGACGGGATTTTACGAAACTCCACCCCTAAATGAGTAAAAGGGGGTGGACTCTCCACGTGTACGAAGTCGCAAGCACAGCTAAAGCCTGGTCCGTGAGCACACTCATTGCGGGCGCGCGTCGCACAGTCGCGACAGCAATATAATTACGCGCGAGCGATAAGGATGGGTAGCTTGGGGTCATTGAACAAAATTCTACGTGCTCACGGACCAGGCTTTAGTCCTATAATAAAACCTTCAAAACAATCCATTCTGACCTTAGAAGTGCTCCAGGCAGGCACGGGTCGCTCAGGCTGCTCAGAGTCGGAATCCGAGTTAAGGTACTGGAAGCCATCCGCCATGTATGCCGACGACCTCATAAAGGTAGCGGGAAGGCGCTGGATGCAGGCCGCCACCGGCCATTGTGGAAATCATTAGGGGAGGCCTATGTTCATTAATAGACGTCCTGTGGCTGAAATGATGATGATTCTGACCTTAGAAGTGCTCCTTTGTTGGCGATCGACCGCGTGATCTCTTGCCTTCCACCTAGCCCTGAACTATGTTGAATATCCTGCGATAAAACCTTCAAAACAAATCAGATTCTGACCTTAGAAGTGCTCCAGGCGGGCACGGGTCGCTCGGGCTGCTCGGAGTCGGAATCAGAGTTGAGATACTGGAAGCAGTCCGCCATGATTTACGTGGCGCGTATCCTAGCTACATACAGGTAACGGTTCTATCGGTCGATGATGAATTTTCTTAGTCGGGCACTCTTGTCAGAGTGGTCGTGGTGGCGCTGACGAGGCACACGGTGGGGTGATGTCATCTCCTGGCGATGTGTGTCTATTTCTGACGGTTATAGAGTACGCTGAAGTGGCAATGGGCAGGGCACATAGTACGCAGAACTGACGGCCGGAGGGGCAGCAAGGTTCTGGAATGGAGGCCGCGTACCGGAAAACGCAGCGTGGGACGTCCACCTACAAGGTGGACCGATGACATCGTAAAGGTAGCAGGGAAGCGCTGGACGCAGGTCGCTACCAATCAATCAACGTGGAAAGCATTGGGGGAGGCCTATGTTCAGCAGTGGACGTCCAGTGGTCAGAAATAATGATAATCTGACCTTAGAAGTGCTCCTTTGTTGGCGATCGACCGCGTGCTCTCTTGCCTTCCACCTGGCCCTGAACTATGATGAATATCCTGCGATAAAACCTTCAAAACAATCCATTCTGACCTTGGAAGTGCTCCAGGCGGGCACGGGTCGCTCGGGCTGCTCCGAGTCTGAATCCGAGTTAAGATACTGGAAGCCGTCCGCCATTTAAATCGTGGCGCTAGATATACAGCTTATAGTTTTATCGGTCGATGATAAATAATCCTCAAATAAAAACTTCAAAACGAATCCTTTTCTGACCTTAGAACGTACCAGAAAGCGTAGCCTTCTCCGACGATCTCATAAAGGTAGCGGGAAGGCGCTGGATGCAGGCCGCCACCGGCCATTGTGGAAATCATTGGGGGAGGCCTATGTTCAGCAGTGAACGTCCTGTGGCTGAAATGATGATGATTTTCACCTTAGAAGTGCTCCAAGCGGGCACGGGTCGCTCGGGCTGTTTCAAGTCTGAATTAGAGTAGAGATTCTGGAAGCAGTCCGCCATGATTTACGTGGCGCGCATCCTAGCTATAGACGTTTTTATCGGTCGACAATGAGGATCCTACAGTGAAACTTCAAAAAATATAACCTTCCTTCGGGCGCAAACGGGTTCGTTCGTTTCAGCCGAAAGATGTCCACTGCTGGACAAAGGCCTCCCCCAAGGATTTCCACAAAGACCGATCCTGCGCCGCTCGCATCCAGGCACCTCCCGCGACCCTCACCAGATCGTCGGTCCACCTACGGCACGGCAGACGGGTAAATAACATTTATTCCGACCTTGGAAGTGCTCCAGGCGGGCACGGGTCGCTCGGGCGGCTCCGAGTCGGAATCAGAGTTGAGATACTGGAAGCCGTCCGCCATGTTATACGTGGCGCGTATCCTAGCTACATACAGGTAACGATTCTATCGGTCGATGTTGAATCTTTTTAGTCGGGCACTCTTGTCAGAGTGGTCGTGGTTGCGCTGACGAGGCACACGGTGGATGTCATCTCCTGGCGATGTGTGTCTATTTCTGACGGTTATAGAGTACGCTGAAGTGGCAATGGGCAGGGCACATAGTACGCAGAACTGACGGCCGATGGGGCAGCAAGGTTCTGGAGTGGAGGCCGCGTACCGGAAAACGCAGCGTGGTACAAGCTTCCACCTACAAGGCGGACAGTCTCATAAAGGTAGCAGGAAGGCGCTGGACGCAGGCCGCTGCCAATCGGTCATTGTGGAAATCATTAGGGGAGGCCTATGTTCAGCAGTGGACGTCCTGTGGCTGAAATGATGATGCTCCGCTCCTTTGTTGGCCCTGAACTATGATGAATATCCTGCGATAAAACCTTCAAAACAACTGCATTCTGACCTTGGAAGTGCTCCAGGCGGGCACGGGTCGCTCGGGCTGCTCCGTCCGCGTGGCGCGTATCCTAGCTACATACAGGTAACGATTCTATCGGTCGATGATAACAATCTATCTATTTAAAACGAAAAGTCATTGACTGACTCATTCATCACGAAATCTCAGAAACTACAAGTGCTAAGAGCCTCAAATTTTGCATGGAGGTTCNCGATGATGAATCTTCTTAGTCGGGCACTCTTGTCAGAGTGGTCGTGGTTGCGCTGACGAGGCACACGGTGGGGTGATGTCATCTCCTGGCGATGTGTGTCTATTTCTGACGGTTATAGAGTACGCTGAAGTGGCAATGGGCAGGGCACATAGTACGCAGAACTGACGGCCGATGGGGCAGCAAGGTTCTGGAGTGGAGGCCGCGTACCGGAAAACGCAGCGTGGTACAAGCTTCCACCTACAAGGCGGACAGTCTCATAAAGGTAGCAGGAAGGCGCTGGACGCAGGCCGCTGCCAATCGGTCATTGTGGAAATCATTGGGGGAGGCCTATGTTCAGCAGTGAACGTCCTGTGGCTGAAATGATGATGATTTTCACCTTAGAAGTGCTCCAAGCGGGCACGGGTCGCTCGGGCTGTTTCAAGTTTGAATCAGAGTTGAGGTACTGAAAGCCGTCCGCCATTTAAATACTAGCTACTTATACAGGTCACAGTTCTATCGGTCGGTGACAATAAAGCTCTTAGCAGACTTATCAACTCGGAAAGGGATCAACACCGTATCGCCTCTCGCGCGCTCTCAAACGCGAGACAAAGCGTTTAAGTTACGGTGCGGATAAGTGTGTGTGGTATGGAGTTTCATACAAATAATACTGACCGCCTTGAGTTGATACGGTTACGATCCCTGCTACGTCCTTAATCCTGAAAGAAAACCTTCAAAACAATCCGTCATGTATACCGGCTCCGTGTGCGCAGAATGCCCGGGCGTGCCCACTTTGAGCGAGGTGTTTGTTTGCCCGCAATCGCACTTAGTGTTAAGTGGGATGCAGTCTAGGATGGTACATATCTGCCCTGTAAGTGGCTATTCACTCTCGCCTTGAAAAGGCCCGGATAACCCGGCGTAGACGGGTAAATAACATTTATTCCGTTAAAATAGTAAGACACGGGTCTTAATACGTTTATTACTGAGTTGCATTATGTACTCACGGCTTGACGTTTCGGCTGCGATGCTGCAGCCGTGGTCACAAGCAGACTGGCGGCTCGCGGTCGTCCGTTCGGGCGGGCTTGAAGATTTTCAACTACCCTCATAAAACCAACATTTATAGATACTGGAAATCGTCGGCCATTTTAAATCGTGGCGCACATCCTAACTATACAGGTTATGGTTTTATCGGTCGATGATAACAATCTATCTATTTAAAACGAAAAGTCATTGACTGACTCATTCATCACGAAATCTCAGAAACTACAAGTGCTAGGGGTCTCAAATTTTGCATGGGGGTTCCTTTTAGACGTTCCTTTTCTCACTAAGACGGAATTTTACGAAACTCCACCCCTAAATGAGTAAAAGGGGGTGGACTCTCCACGTGTACGAAGTCGCACGCACAGCTAAAGCCTGGTCCGTGAGCACGTAGAATTTTGTCCAATGACCCCAAGCTACCCATCCTTATCGTTCACGCGTAATTATGTTGCTGTCGCGCTCGCACACTCACTGCGGGCGCGCGTCGCACAGTCGCGACAGCAATATAATTACGCGCGAGCGATAAGGATGGGTAGCTTGGGGTCATTGGACAAAATTTTACGTGCTGACCAGGCTTTAGTCCTATAATAAAACCTTCAAAACAATTATATTCTGACCTTAGAAGTGCTCCAGGCTGGCACGGGTCGCTCGGGCTGCTCCGAGTCTGAATCCGAGTTGAGGTACTGGAAGCCGTCCGCCATGTATACCGGCTCCGTGTGCGCAGAATGGCCAGGCGTGCCCACTTTAAGCGGGGTGTTCTCTGAAAATAAGGAGTAATTTAAGTAATTTTCTGGCAATAGGCTAGTTTCCTAAAAAATTTTATTAGTCCATCAATTTTAATATAAAAAAATATTGGACACATATATTTTTGATTGTCAATCAAACAAATAATTACTAAGTTATAGTGCGTTGAAGTTCCGCGAGACGTCACAAAGTGCTGCAGTTTTACGCACTCATTGACGTCACGGGCCTTTTCTTTAGAACTTTGGCACGCTTTATCTCTTTACATTTTCATTAGTTTTAAAAAGTGAAAAATACGTGTCGAGTAGTTTTTGATAAGCTAACTGACGGACTAATTAAAACTCTTGCTTTTTTACCCAGGAAACATCCCTATTTATTGAAGATCTGAGGCTGGCAATACACGGACCGCTCGAGCAGTTAGTCAGTGATCATACACGGACCACTCTTGNAAATCATTGGGGGAGGCCTATGTTCAGCAGTGAACGTCCTGTGGCTGAAATGATGATGATTTTCACCTTAGAAGTGCTCCAAGCGGGCACGGGTCGCTCGGGCTGTTTCAAGTTTGAATCAGAGTTGAGGTACTGAAAGCCGTCCGCCATTTAAATACTAGCTACTTATACAGGTCACAGTTCTATCGGTCGGTGACAATAAAGCTCTTAGCAGACTTATCAACTCGGAAAGGGATCAACACCGTATCGCCTCTCGCGCGCTCTCAAACGCGAGACAAAGCGTTTAAGTTACGGTGCGGATAAGTGTGTGTGGTATGGAGTTTCATACAAATAATACTGACCGCCTTGAGTTGATACGGTTACGATCCCTGCTACGTCCTTAATCCTGAAAGAAAACCTTCAAAACAATCCGTCATGTATACCGGCTCCGTGTGCGCAGAATGCCCGGGCGTGCCCACTTTGAGCGAGGTGTTTGTTTGCCCGCAATCGCACTTAGTGTTAAGTGGGATGCAGTCTAGGATGGTACATATCTGCCCTGTAAGTGGCTATTCACTCTCGCCTTGAAAAGGCCCGGATAACCCGGCGTAGACGGGTAAATAACATTTATTCCGTTAAAATAGTAAGACACGGGTCTTAATACGTTTATTACTGAGTTGCATTATGTACTCACGGCTTGACGTTTCGGCTGCGATGCTGCAGCCGTGGTCACAAGCAGACTGGCGGCTCGCGGTCGTCCGTTCGGGCGGGCTTGAAGATTTTCAACTACCCTCATAAAACCAACATTTATAGATACTGGAAATCGTCGGCCATTTTAAATCGTGGCGCACATCCTAACTATACAGGTTATGGTTTTATCGGTCGATGATAACAATCTATCTATTTAAAACGAAAAGTCATTGACTGACTCATTCATCACGAAATCTCAGAAACTACAAGTGCTAGGGGTCTCAAATTTTGCATGGGGGTTCCTTTTAGACGTTCCTTTTCTCACTAAGACGGGATTTTACGAAACTCCACCCCTAAATGAGTAAAAGGGGGTGGACTCTCCACGTGTACGAAGTCGCACGCACAGCTAAAGCCTGGTCCGTGAGCACGTAGAATTTTGTCCAATGACCCCAAGCTACCCATCCTTATCGTTCACGCGTAATTATGTTGCTGTCGCGCTCGCACACTCACTGCGGGCGCGCGTCGCACAGTCGCGACAGCAATATAATTACGCGCGAGCGATAAGGATGGGTAGCTTGGGGTCATTGGACAAAATTTTACGTGCTGACCAGGCTTTAGTCCTATAATAAAACCTTCAAAACAATTATATTCTGACCTTAGAAGTGCTCCAGGCTGGCACGGGTCGCTCGGGCTGCTCCGAGTCTGAATCCGAGTTGAGGTACTGGAAGCCGTCCGCCATGTATACCGGCTCCGTGTGCGCAGAATGGCCAGGCGTGCCCACTTTAAGCGGGGTGTTCTCTGAAAATAAGGAGTAATTTAAGTAATTTTCTGGCAATAGGCTAGTTTCCTAAAAAATTTTATTAGTCCATCAATTTTAATATAAAAAAATATTGGACACATATATTTTTGATTGTCAATCAAACAAATAATTACTAAGTTATAGTGCGTTGAAGTTCCGCGAGACGTCACAAAGTGCTGCAGTTTTACGCACTCATTGACGTCACGGGCCTTTTCTTTAGAACTTTGGCACGCTTTATCTCTTTACATTTTCATTAGTTTTAAAAAGTGAAAAATACGTGTCGAGTAGTTTTTGATAAGCTAACTGACGGACTAATTAAAACTCTTGCTTTTTTACCCAGGAAACATCAGTATTTATTGAAGATCTGAGGCTGGCAATACGCGGACCGCTCGAGCAGTTAGTCAGTGATCAATATACACGGACCACTCTTGCAGTCAAGAGTTTTTTTTTATCCACAACGAGGGAGCTCTTGGCCTGTATCTCACCTGATGGTAAGTGACGATCAGGCCGAAGGTGGAAGCGAGCTTCACCCGGAATCCTCAACCACGGAGGAACTGGCTATCTTACCTACCTCTAACTGCCGGAACACAACAATGCTGTTAACATTGTTGTTATGGCGACAGACTTAGGTAAGATGGTGGTAGCTAGCCAGGCGGACTTAGAACAAGCCCTACCACCAACCAAACCGAATAGAAAAATCTGCCCCCACTGGGAATCGAACCCGGGACCTCTGCGTCTGAAGCAGGTGGTCTTACCACTAGACCACAGAGGCGGTTAAAGCTAAGCGAGCGAGTTAAGCGAGTCAACAGCTTGAAGCTGCCAGTGATAACTGCTCGAGCAGTTGGTATTAACTGCTCAACAAATCACAAGCGCGCGAGCCGTGGAATGAAGAAAGTGGGCGGAGGTAACTGCGCGAGAGCTGTCGACAGCTCGAGCAGTCAGTGTATGGCTGGCGACTGCTTGACCGCACGATGAAAATCCACCGTGCTGTCGACCGCCCGAATCAGTTGCAACCGCTCGAGCGGTTCGTGTATGTGCGTCCATAGAACTCTGCAGTTCACTGTGCAGTCGCAGCTTGAAGCTGTCGACCCTGACTGCTTCAAGCGGTCCGTGTATTGCCGGCCCGATAGATATTTCATCACCTTCATTATTATAGTCCGGTCGCTGAGCACGTAGAATTTCGTCTAATGACCCCAAGCTACCTATTCTTACCGCTCGCGCGTAATGTGCTGTCGCGACTGTGCGACGGGCGGCCGCAGTGAGTGTGCGAGCGCGACAGCAATATATGTAATTAAGCGCGAGCGATAAGGATGGGTAGCTTGGGGTCATTGGACTAAATTATACGTGCTCAGCGACCGGACTTTAGTCATGAGTCTCCACTACAATAACACAATCTAATTTACTAGAGGTTATTCCCGCCGCCACTCAACTATTGTGGTGAATGTAGCAGGCAAAATCATATTTAGCCCACACGAGGGGTTATTAGTAAAAAACTTTTGATTTCTGTTAATTTTTTGGTGTGATTGTTTATATTGATATTGATGGTAAATAAATAATATAAAAAATAACTTTTCCAAAAAGAAAACTAAGAAGAAAGAGGTTAAAATGATAATTTGGCCATGCTATCCACCAGGGTTGGCGAGGTCTGAAATTAGCATTTATTAATAATTTTTTTTATGCCATCGATGGAAATAATGAGGTTGGTTTTGAATCTACTCTGACTTAACTACCCAGTTAAATTTACACCAACAACAAAACACATAAGGATAGATCATAAAGGTGTGTGTCTATGCATTGTGTGTGTGATACTCACGTTTGTCTTCCAGCCGATGTTTTAACTTCTGCTTTTCAATGTATTCCTTTTGCCTCTTTTCTATTTCTTTAGCCATTATTGCAGCCTCCTTTTTCATTCTGAAAGATAATATCTTTAGATAAGTTTTCTGTCACGTCAACAAATAAGGGGTCATCCATAAAGTACGTCACACGTAAAGAGGGGGGGAGGGGGTTGACAAAGTGTGACATGGTGTGACAAGGGGTGGGAGGGGTCCTAAGTTCCGTGACATCACATTTCAATTGTTTCAAATATTTGATATAATGTTGATTTCATAAAAAAAGTACTTCATTTAAATGGAAATAAAACTAATTGCTGTTAATTTAATAATTTTTCGATGTGAAATTGCAAAACATGTGACGTCACACTAGGGAGGGGGGGGTCTCAGAAATGTGACCACCTGTGACAAGGACGGAGGGGGGTCAAAAAATCATGAAATTCGTGTGACGTACTTTATGGATGGCCCCTAATGATAAAGATGACCTACACAGCCTACACTTGACCTGCCTGTGACATTGACAGGGGGGCGCCACCATTGTTTAATTATATAGTTTCCAACGTGGCAAAAATCGGAACTAGCGATCCGGTATTGACAGTGGTGCCCCCTGTCAATATCACGGGTATCAGTTCAGTGTATTGGGTCTGTTGGCGACAGATCTGGTAACACCGATACTAGGCCATAGTCTATGGACTGCAGCCTAGCAACGGTGTTAGCCATCTTGTTTTTTGGATACAATTCTGTTGCTTTGCCTTTTGTGCTTTTTATGTGATCTAAAAACAGTTTCGTATTTAAAGCTAAGCATATTTTCATTTATGTAGCTAACCGGGTCTATAATTCATGGTCAATAACAATTACCATGCTAGTTCACCTAGCACATACCTTTTTGTTTGCCATAACCACAATATCAAAAGCATTTTCCCAGTAAAGAAAATTCGGAGTTAAGATAGAAAGCCAGTTTCTCTGTGATTGAAGATTACGAGTGAAGCTTGCTTCTACCTTCGGCCTGAACATCAGGTGAGATACAGGCCAAGAGATTTTCCTGCTGTGATACAGATTTATCACTGTGTACTTCCGCCTCGAGGTAAGGTGGACCGACGACCTCATAAAGGTAGCAGGAAGGCGCTGGATGCAGGCCGCTACCAACTGGGCAATATGGAAATCATTGGGGGAGGCCTATGTTCAGCAGTGGACGTCCTGTGGCTGAAATGATGATGATGATGATGATGACTTACGCCTCGGCTTCCTCGATCTGCTTGCGTCGTAACGCGTCGGCGCGTTTTTGTTCGTCAGCCAAACGTTGTTGTCTCGCTTGCTCCTCTGCACGCCTCCGTTCTTCTGTCTCTGCCACCTTGCGGGCTAGCTCTTGCTTTTTCTGAGGACAAAATCAACCTTATAAAACTGTGTCTAAACCACACTGTCAGTTGTTATATTCAGTACTAAGATTTTTTTAAGATTCTCTAAGATTGTTTTCATAGGGGACACTTAAAAATTTGGAATTGATGGTGAAAACGGGCTTTAGTATTGCAAAGCTTTGTAGTTCCGACAAAAAAATAGAATAATGAACACTCTACTCGTGGATGTTGTAAGAGACGACCTAGGGGACACATATCGGACATAGGGGATTTGGTGATGATCGCGGAAACATCTGGATACGGACAGCGCAGGATCGGTCTTTGTGGAAATCCTTGGGGGAGGCCTTTGTCCAGCAGTGGGCGGCACTAAACTAAAATGAACGAATTCAAAAAGGGAACCGCTCTAGCAAGCTAGCAGGTAAGCCATGGTCCATATTACGCGCTCTCTCGCAGATGTTTCTATCTGCTACTGGGTTGGGAATTCTCTTTCTCACTTACCCTTTCAGTCTCCTTCAAGCTTACTCTGATTGCCTCCATGGCGGCGCAGTGCTCTTTCCACTGCCTCCTAGACTGCTAGGAAATAAATAAATGGTCGGGGATCCCCATTGGGGGATTCAATGAAGACTCCACTCACCCTCTCAGTCTTCTTCAACCGCTCCAGCTTGCCCTGGTCGACATGCACTTGCTTCTTCATGCGTTCTCTTCTACTGCCTTCTAGATTGCTAGTCAATAAGCAACAAAATATTGCGCTATTTTTTTATTGCGCTGATTCTGCTCAATACTGATGTCTGGAGCCTTTAATGGATGATATTGTTTGTTTACACATACAATCTCACTATTTTGTTGCAATTTCTTATTAAACTTTGCGCGCAAAAAGCAAATCTAGTATGAAAATCATCAAACTCCTAATGCTCGTAACTCAGTTCAGACTGAGTTTAGAGGTATACATGTTATAGTAAGTTTGGTTTATTACACTATTTTGTAATCAAAAAACAAAGTTTGGTAGATGGCCGCGCGAAAAAAATAAGACGCCAATTTCCGGCATTGTCTTTTATCTGATCCATGTTCCTTCTCATAGTCAATTCACTCAATTCTCCCCCTTCTGGGGCTTGACACCACAAATACGGTACTTCGCGTCGGGCTGCTATCGTTGATAAATGTCATCACTTCCTCTCATAACTTCGCCTGATTGTGTGCCAGGAGTGCGCAAACTCGATCCAGTTACTGCGACTACGCGTGAGGTCCTGGTGATAAACAGGTTGCTCGGCTCTCCGTATCGCATCCAGCATCTTCTGTCGAGCTTCGTCATAGAGGTGGGAATAGTCCCGTTACTTACCCTTTCTGTTTCCTTCAACCGTTCCAGCTTGCCCTGGTCCACATGCGCTTGCTTCTCCATACGTTCTCTCGCGGCAGCCTCCATGGCAGCGCGGCGTTCCCTTTCCGCGGCCTCACGTACAGCGGCCGCGGCGGCCATTTTCTCTTCGCGTTTTCTGAGGAAATGGAAAAAAGGGTTTAGTTATTATTTACGGGATTACTACGAATACATGGGTACTATCGGCAACAGTGTTAACTGCCCATTGCCGGTCTTGTCGTCTCGTTCTATCGCAAAGAATCTGATTTTGATGAGAGAGAGAGAACAAAAACGGAAATGGATAGTTAACATTGTGGCCGTGTGTAACTATATTAAAAATTATTATGTTAGTGACCATGAAAGTTTAAAACGATGGATGTGTGTCCTCTTATCCTATAATCATTCCGGAAATAGTAACAATTATTAATATTATTTGGGTTTTTAATACCTACCCATTTTCACAATCAATTCCTAATTTTTAAATGGCTCTGGAAACAAAATTCCTGTTATGAGCTACCGTAGGGGTCACATAAAAATTAGGGATTGATGGTGAAAACGGGCATAAGACTGATTTTCTTTAAGAATGATGTAAGAAAATCGTGTTGCAAAAGATGTGTTTGTTAATATTCATTGACCTAGCCTTGCTTAATGAAGTTCTGGTGGAAACAAGTGACAATACATGCTAGGCATATGTAAGAAAGAATGTATGTATGAATTTTAGTTGTGTTGATGGCCATATTTTGACTTGTACGAGATCACAAACACGGTTTAAAGAAAATCACACTTTTTGCACAGTAAAAGCAGGACTATTTCCATCGCTGCAACTCCTGTATAGCCAGGATTTACACATCATCTTTTTGCACAGCAGTAGTCAAATATGAAATTTCATTATTCCCTCTTCCTTTCAATATTTTTCAAGTTTTCTTCTAGACCAAAACCTACACTAAAACAAAAAACTTAACTAACGCCCGTATTCACAAACATTACCATGAAGTCTCACAGTGCGCGTGGACACACGAACCAATCACAGAGCTCTATTCAACGCTGTGCGTTCGATTTGCAGCTTCACTTAAGCAAGCATCGTTTGTGAATACAGGCATAAACCTTACTTCTTCTGCTGTTCCCGTTTCGCCTCCAGCATAGCTTCCTTTTTCTTCCTAGCATCTTCCTTTTCCCTTTTCAAGCTTTCCTCCGCCGCTTCCTTGTGCTTGCTCACAGAGCTCAGTTTGGAAGTGGAAGCGGGAATGAAGGATTTCACGCTGCTTACCACGTTGGCACGCGGCTTGGACGCTGAACTTGATATCTGGGGAAATAATAATGGTGATACTGTAAAAACCTGGTTTTGTAAGTAACCAGAACTGGCTGTATATACATTCTATATTTTTTTGCTATATTTGAATGTGATTTTTATACACTGAGCTGTTTATGTTTCTGTTACTTTACCAAAATACACGGTCGTTCCCTCATCTCTCTCTTCTTTTTTTTTAATAATCTTAGTTCCATCAGCACTCTACACTTTCTAGTGTTTCTAGTTCCTAGAGATACTATGCTACGCAGGAGAACCAAAGTGACCGACATAGCCCGCAAAATTGCTAAAATCAAGTGGCAGGCTGCACATAGCTCGCAGAGTTGATGTCCCGAAGTGGTGGTAGGGCAAGCTATATTTGGGACGTGTATAAAAGGGCCTATGTACTGTACTGAATAAACTATTTTAATTTTAATTTTGATGGCCGCTGGGGCAGAAACGTTCTCGAGTGGCGACCACGGGCCGGAAGACGTAGCGTGGGCAGGCCTCCCACTAGGACCGACGATCTGGTGAAGGTTGCGGGAGGTGCCTGGATGCGGGCAGGATCGGTCGTGGTGGAAATCCTTGGGGAGGCCTTTGTCCAGCAGTGGACGTCATTTGGCCTACGAGCATTACATGTAGTGCTAAAGCCTGGTCCGTGAGCACGTAGAATTTTGTCCAATGACCCCAAGCTACCCATCCTTATTGCTCGCGCGTAATTATATTGCTGTCGCGACTGTGCGACGGGCGCCCGCAGTGAGTGTGCGAGCGCGACAGCAACATAATTACGCGAGACTATACCAACCGGCAATTGGAAATCATTGGGGGAGGCCTATGTTCAGCTGTGGATGTTCTATGATTGAAATGATGATGAAATTAGAGAAGGCATGCTAGGTACCTGTTTGAATTTTTGAACTTACCTGCGGCGCTGGTTTTCCGTTGAATATCATGCTGTTCATTTTGTTGAGGGTGTCTGCGGACAGAACCGCTTTCATGATCTTGTCTGGTGGCGTGTGGGAATCTTCTGGCTTGTCCTCCTCCTGTATAAATAGTAGTGTTCTACGGTTAGGTCAAAGTGAACGCAGCATCCGCATACAGTGTGACCAATTCTTTAAAGTGTGGTTATCGATAGAAAGGTGGATAATATTATTATAGTGTGCTTATAGTGGACGTCCTATGGCTGAAAATGAACTTGATGATGATGTGCTTATAAAAGGTGTCGCTTTAAGTATGGATCAAACAAAAACGATTCATTATCATCAGTAGTGGTTCAGCCAATTATACTTTTTTTGAGAATTTGGATATTGTTTTGATAAATTGTTAGATTTGAGCAGAATAATCAAGTCTTTATTAATGTAAGTAAAGTAATTATTAGTTAAAATCTCTGTGTGCATAAAGTAATTATTAGAATACAGCAATATTTTTACCTTTTTGGCCATAGCTCGCGTTTTAGTTCTTGTGACTCGCGATGCTAATTCTTCGAATTGTTGAACTTTTTCTTTCACAGCCGATCTAAAAAGATAAAACGCTTATAAATATGTAAGCTAGTTATAAGATGGTAAGATTTCAATGAAATCTATTCAACAATTTAGTTTGAAGGAGGAAAAATATTCATGCACTCATCTACCGTGTAGATTTTACACAAACGTAATAAATAGGTTGCGAAAACGTAAACACTTGTGTCTTGAGTAAAGTAAAGTAAAGTAATGTTTATTTCTCACCAACATAACAGATAATATTATGATAACAAACAATCAGTGAAAACAAAGTAAGAATGTTGGTGGGTTGATACCTGAACTAGGAAGATTCCTGTGTCTCAGGTTACCAACCCTCCACCCCATACAATGGTCTATGTTATAAATAAATAGATTATATTTTATTAACATTTAAGAAAATAACAATTATAAAAGTATGAGAATTTTCTAAGGTAGAAAAAAAAAAACAAAATTTCGACTCGAAAAGTATTAAAAATATTATGCGGGTAGTATGCAAAAACTTACATATGTATGGCAGCAGCTACTTCGCCTGGGTAAAAAAGTATTGCTTGTGGTACAAGTTATGAGCTGTTGGCTTAATCTAAAATTAATGGCGGAGCTATGTTTACAATACAGTAAATATTGCAATATTGCGTGAATAAATAGGTATTACAGTATAGAAGTGTTTTTTATTACTATAAAAATGAAACTTAATCTTAAGTACACTATTGAAATTACAAGTAGGTATAGGTGAGGTTTATTCGTGCGTGGGTGTGTATGTGTGCGACTGTCTGGATGTCTACATGTTTGTCACTCTTTCTCGCAAAAACTACTGAACGGGTTTCGATGAAACTTCACAGTAATATTTTTCATAACCAAGTATAACATAGGTATAGACTACAATTTATGACGATCTGTGACAAAACAAATTTCACGCGGGTGAAGCCGCGGGCAAAAGCCAGTAAGTGCCTATTTGCATTATTTTATTTTATGAATAGATATGATTTTAATGGTCTGCAAATTATTTAATTTTAAAGATATTCTCTGTTTGGGTATAATCAAGTGCTAGCAAAATTTTTTTCATTGTAGTTTTGAGTCGTTCTTTATTTAATTGAACAATTTGATTTTGATCATTGAAATATCTATATAGGTACGGACCCATGTAGAATAATTGACGCCTACCAAACACAGTGTTTATAGTTGGAACTGGAGTTCGAACCCGTCTTTTACCTTGAGGTAGCTGGGCTAGGTCTATATTTGGGTGGTGGCGGAGTACAGAGTTAAATATGTACAATTGTCGGACCGTTAAAAGTTGAGTCTCCGCATAAAGTTTTTCAGTGGAATATTTTCTGGGCTTATGGGTCATAACTTTAATAACTGATCGTTGGGCTCGTTCCAACTCCAAGAGATGGCAGGGTGCGGCCCCACCCCACACCGTGACACAGTACGTCAACAGTGACTGACAAAGAGCGAGATATATATTTTTAATAAGTTTCAGATCTGCAGAATCTCGAAGATTCCTAAAAATAGGCAGAAGTTTCCGAATTCGTTTGCTCAATGCTGTAATTTGTGGACGCCAGTTTAGGTTCTTGTCTACTATTATTCCTAGGTACTTATGATTGTCTGTTTGCAGTAGGGGAGCACAATCACAGTCAACGTCCGAGCCACAAGCGGAAGAGTGGGCCTTAATAGTGAAGTCGGTAGGTGGATTCGTAGCACCGGATATTCTAAAGCAAATATATTTTGTTTTAGGTATATTTATGGTTAATAAGTTACCGTCCAACCACTTTATCACCCGTCTAAGACCTTTTTCTGCAAACCTTTCAACCACCGGCCATGTTGCCCCTTTAAATATTAGTGCAGTGTCATCCGCAAAAGCAAGAATCTTACCATTATCAGTTTTTATGTTGCACAAGTCATTTACGTAGGCTAGGAAGAGCGTAGGTCCGAGAGTGCTTCCCTGTGGTATTCCATAGGTGATGACTGAACTAGAGCTGCAGATACCCTCCACCCTCACCACTTGACTTCTGGCTGTCAGATAGTCTCTGAGCCATTCCAGCGGTAGGCCACGTATGCCCAAGTTCTCTAGCTTCGACAATAATAGCGGTATCGAAACGGTGTCGAATGCTTTCTTTAGGTCCAAAAAGATAGCCACACATCTTTGGCCAGCATCAAGGGATTTTGATACTAGTTCCGAGAGTTTGGACACTGCATCCTCAGTGCTTTTAGCTGCTCGGAAGCCATATTGGGAACTTGATAAAATGTTTTGGCTTTCTAGGAAGTTGGTTAGTCTAATGTTAAATGCTTTTTCGACGATTTTACTAATAGTGCTAAGTAATGATATAGGCCTGTAATTCGACACAGAATCTACACCGCCACCCTTGTAGATCGGGATCACAACAGCCTTTTTTAATATATCCGGGAATGTACCTTTCGAGAAGCTCAGATTGCACAGGTGTGCAATCATGCTGCATAATATGGCATGTGAGTTCTTTAAAATTGTAGTAGATATGGTGTCTATACCAGGAGCACTATTGCTTTTTAGATTAAGAATAATTTTGTCTATTTCCCTAAAATCTGTTGGCGTCAAGCTCATAGAGTTGGCTTTCTGCGATGGTGGTATTCTACGTAGAAGTTGTGATTCACTGGTTCCGGTCCTAGATAAAATGTCGTGAGCCAATTTTTCGCCAATTGATGTGAAGAATTGGTTCACAAGGTTCAGAGACGATGTTGGGGAAGCTGTAAGATTGAGCAGAGAGGAAGCATGAGATTGAGCTTTTTTTATGTTGCATAATTCCTTAACAGTCTCCCAAGTACCTTTTAAGTTTTTATGATATTTATATAATTTTTCTTTATAATAGTTAATTTTTAAATTTTTTGTCGTCAAATTACATGTATTTCGGTATCTTATATATTGATCTTTTATGATTTCATTGCCTGGATACTTTTTAACAAGTTTGTGTATCCTGTCTCTGGTCTTAAAACATTTGATGATACTAGGAGTAATCCAAGGCTTTAGAGGACGTTTTCTTTTGGTAAAGGTAACCTTTGATGTATGTTGTGCCATGAGATCATGGAGCGTTTCAGTTAATGTTTTAGCGGCAATATTTGGGTCTTCGATAGCTAAGAAAGGTTTCCAGTCTTTATCCGAAATCGCTTTTTTCAGAGCCTCATAGTCTATTTTAGTCCTAGTTATCGAGTTAGAAGGATTGGTTGTCATTTTAGCTGAACTTGAAATACTCAGTAGTATAGGATAATGATCAGTAATATCTGTTTCAAGAACGAAGGATTGATGATCTGCAACTAGTTTGCACATAAAATGGTCTAAACAAGTGCGGCCGTGTGTCGGGATATCAATGGCTTTATTCATTCCGTGGGATCCTATTATCTCTAAATAGTCTCGAACGCTGCTATTACAAGTGTCTAAAGTGTCAATATTTATATCACCAGTGAGTATTATGTTTCGAGTTTTAGTGTTAGTTAAAAGTGTATCCAATGAATCCAGAAAAGCGCTTAAATTTTTAAAGCAATAGGGGCGATATATTCCAAAAATGGTCATATTACTTATGTTGGCTGCAAGACAGTTAGCTTCATCGAGTTCTAGTTCTTGTACTGTGGCATTTATACTATTGTGGATGTACATGATAACCCCATCGTTTTGATTGAAGCTTCGTTGAGTAAATGACATTGTAAATCCTTCAATCAAAGGCGGCACTGACTCTGCATTACACCAACATTCTGAGAGAATAATAATATCTACCATTATTTTTAGCCTAGTTATGTATATTAAAAAATTGTCTAAATTTTTGTTCACGCTTCTAATGTTGAATGATAGTATATTTAATTTTAGCTGATGAGAATTATATTTTTCAAGTTCAGATTCAAGAAACCTTGGATCATCAATAAGTTTACAGTAGGGGTCGCAAACCGGGATACCGAATTTNGAGCCTTGCCCCCAGGATTTAAAGTATCGATATCTTATCGACTCCATTTTATCTTTCTTCTCTCTAATTGCTTTTTTCAAAGTGTGCGTCACGTCACGCGGCCATTGATTGGCCATAAGGCACGCCTTCTGGCCAATCACAGCACTTTTAAGCCGGTTGCACATGTTGTCGTAGACTCTCAGTCGCTTTGTTTTTACACAGTTGAATGTGTGTGTGGGAGCTGTGGTGGGGGAAATGTGGGGACACTGGTTCTCGTTGTAGTTACGCGCGACTTCATATCTATTCTCTTTCTATGAGCTGAGCCTGCATCCAACGCCTTCCTATCTCTTCAGCAGAGGACGTTCTATGGCTGAAATGATGATAATCAATCTTATGAGTCACGCTAGTTTACCTTTCTCCCGCGGGTGCGCTTGGGTCTGGGCTCGGGCGGCGGTTGCTCTGCATCCAAGTCTCTAGTGACGCGAGAGCTACCGCGTGTGGCTCGAGGCGCTGCTACTGTTGAATAGATGAAAACCGAGTTTATACTTTGACTTTTACTTCGTCGAACGACAGCAGTGACTACTGTACCTCTAGTACGAAAAACTTTCGAGTTCGTTTCGTTTGCGTATTCAAAGTGTCATCGAAAAATTTTGTATGAAAAATTAAACAGCGCCCCCTATATTATAGCCGCCCTAGGGGGCGCTGTTTAATTTTCCATACAAAATTTTTCGATGACACTTTGAATACGCAAACGAAACGAACTCGAAAGTTTTTCGTACTTGAGGTACTGAACTACTTGAACTACAAAGAAATTCTCGTGTTGAATTAAAATTTAATTGAAATATTTTAACTCACCTGGGGCAGTGTCAGTTTGTTTCCTAGTGCGAGTGGTGCGGCGGCCTGAAGACTCCTCGCTGGACTCTGTCTTGTCTTTGGCTGCTGCCTTTCGTGGCCCTGTGATAATGATTTAATTAGTATCAAATTTTACTAAGATGAAGAAACACGGAAACGAAAATAGAAAAGTGATCACCATACCATTCATTAAAGAATCCTGTTGTTTAGTAATATTGAATATCTATTTATCTATGCATATTAATTTTATTTATTTGTTATTTATTATGTTGCAACATAGTCTGTATCGATTATTTACAAAATTGAAGCAGTCTAGATTTTTAATTGGGTTACAATTAATTGCTTATCTTTACCACCAGTAAGTGTATGATACATAGGGTTTCTTTACTTCCAGTAATATAATATAAGGAACTATATTTTTAACTGCATTCATAAAATTTCAATAAATTGGAGGACTTATTACTATTAACTTACATTATTGACATAAAGGTTTCTATACACAAATTTCAGCTTTAAAAGTTAATTAAAATAAATAAATACTTACTAGGTACAGGCGCGGCGGGCGGCGGCATCGCAATATCGTCCTTATTCGGTTCCNCTAGCTTCGACAATAATAGAGTGGTATAAAAGAATATTTCAATTTCATATAATCAACATGAAATCAGTGACTCCCTGCGACCTGCGTAGAGTAGACTAAGTCATTTTTTGTGTCTAGCCGGGCTAGGATGCGCGCCGTGATATATTTTATCGACGTCAAAATGTATGGGCAAAATGCAAAATCGATAAAACGGCGTGATAACCGCTTATCGCGGCGCGAATCCTGGGCCTACAGTTGTTTCTTGTCGATAACAAACAATGACAAATTCGCATAATGAAGTGGACATTTTGTGTCCCGGTTGTCATTACGAGTTGAAACGTTATAGCGTTCTAAGCAGTTTTCTCGTCATCTGCGTTGGTGGAAGTATTAAGAGAGTTTACGCGAAGCGCGGCGTTTCAAGGGGCATCATTGGAAATGATTCGCACGCGGCGTTTTTTAATAGTTTTCAAATGTTTATAGCAAAACAATAACAATGAATTATATATCGTTTCAAAGTAAATATTTTAAAGATGATGTTATTTTATTATATTAAGCTATTTTTATGTTGAATTAAAGAAGAATAATTGTGTAAAAATCACTTTGATTTTTGGGTATTTCACGTTCTTTGAATTTGTGATTTCTTATTGTAAAATGCTTAAATCTAAGAATTTTCTCAACTAACTATTTGCCTAAGGACCTAGGCTATAGGATATAAATGTTTGTTATATCGTTTTCACAGTATTTTTATAAAAATTTCAGCTTGTAAACTGACGCTAAAGTGGAAATTTGAAAACCTGTGTGGACTTATCTTGATAGAATTCTTAATTACTATACTATGTATGTTTCAAATTCAATAAATTATTTGTATTTGTATAATCGCAATATTTTCTCAACTAACTATTTAGACGACGAAATTGCCTAATTATTTATGCCTATAACATATTAATTGTAATGTAACTGGTTAATGATTGTAACGGGTTGAAAAAGTACTGTTTTTGCGCCAAACGGCGTAAACGCTTTTAATTTTGTTTTATACTCACGTGGGCTGCGGCTTGGGCGGCTGCTGCTTGGGCGGCGTGCGCGGACTGGGCGCGTCTTCATCATCCGTCAGCAGCGAGTTGTCTTCCGCCATCTTCGGGTGCTTCGGATCTGACGGCACAACAACTCTAATGAGAAGTATTTCACACAACACACGCACTACTTTTCCTTCCATTAGATACCTGCTAGGACCCTTCTTTTTTAATATCCAAAATATTTTTCGTAGGTCATAATTAGCAGTAATGAAGGATTCATACTGCAGAAATGCAGTGGAGGCTGCAGGTCATTACCTGTAGGCCTAAGATGCGCGCCGCGATAAGCGGTTATCACGCCATTTTATCGTATTTGCCCATACATTTTTACGTCGATAAAAGTTATCACGGCGCGCATCTTAGGCCTACTGATGATGATGTTATCACACTCTATGGCCAAAGTTGGCCAAACTGAATAAATATTTTTGCATTATGTTTCAATGAGCTTTGGAAATCGAATATCCTATGAAACTATCGCATATAAATCCCAATCTTTATCAGATTATTCCAGCCAGTGTGTGTAATACAGGCCATATGCTCCTTTTGCCTCTGGTAAATTAAGAACAGTTGTATAGGTACTTCTACTCTACTACTTGTACTCTGTCGGAACTACAAGTTTAATAAACATAGGAGTAAACTAGCTAAAGAAATAAATTTTCCAGCACATACCCTTGTCAATAACGACGGTAGCATCCATGATAGCATGAGGTTTCTCCAGAACTATAGTCTCCCTGCTACAAGTTTCTAATACCACCGTCTCGTTCATGTGGTGCTGCAAAATACCAATTGGTTAGTTGATAATATAAAAAAGCCAATAAAAACACAACTCTTGTAACATCATCTCATTCTAGCCTTGAAAACTGAGCTATAAGTTTCTGAAGGTTCTTAAAAGCGAAGAAAAATCTTCAAAAAAGCATGTTTTACAGTTTACAATGTCAGCAAAAACTATTGCCATAAAATAATCAAAGTATCACATGAGCTAACATAGAGCTACAACTGGAAATCGTAGATTTCTATTCATACGACTATTATAAAAACGTGGAATTTGTGAGTTTTTTTCGTAGAAAGTACGTAATCTCTAGTTACTGAACCGATTTTGATTCTTAAAAAAATCTTAAATTTTGATCCTTAAATTAATTACAACGGTAAAGGTAATTAAAAAGCTATATTATAATAATCCCTTGTTACATAATGAACGAGAAAAGTCACGGACAAAAGCTGTTTAAATGATTAAACTTACAACATTATTAGGCGTCCCCGGATCATGATTATAAACTCCATTCGGCAAATCAACCGTCTTATCCATAATTGTAACCGTAGAATTCATGGTAATTATTCTAGTTTGTTCCAGAACACTTTGCGTATCAGTCTCATCTATCGTTTGCACCGTATCTTCAATTTCTGTGTTCTTTTTTGCATCTTCTTTGTTTTTCTTTTGAGATTTGGTCTCTTTGGTCGGTATTTTGGATTTGATCGGCTGCAGTATGGGGGAGTTTGATTCTGGTTGCGATATTCTCTCTTCTTTCGGTGATATTACCGGTTCGGGTTGGGTTTCTTCAGGTTTGGGGGTTTCTTTCTCTCTGTTGGCAGAATAACAGATTATTAATTCGGACGATCTAAATACTATTTCCTACATTTCCTCATCTAGGGCAAGTAGAGTCCTAAAATACATTAATAAATATTTGATTGTAATATTTGTAATGTAATAAGTTATTATTAGTGTTGAAAACGATTGAGCTGATTTAGATCTTATTAAAATTGTTGGAAAGATTTTATTTCAATGGAGAAAACGCATTAATTGTAACTTGATATCTGTACCTCCTGAAAACTTAAAAGAAATCCTTTAAAAACTATTTCTTTTACTTTTTCCCCAAGCTGCCCATCCTTATCGCTCGCGCGTAATTATGTTGCTGTCGCGACTGTGCGACGCGCGCCCGCCGTGAGTGTGCGAGCGCGACAGCAACATAACTACTCGCGAGCGACAAGGATGGGCAGCTTGGGGTCATTGGACGGGATTCTACGTGCTCACGGACCAGGCTTTAGTTCGTGAGGCAGAAAAAGTAATTAACACTCTGGAAGACAGAGACAAAAACTTACGCTGCTTTCTGCCCTCTTCTCGTTCGCTTTGGCCGCGGTTTCTCGGCTGGGGACGCTAAAATAAAATAAATATCATTAGTATTTTAAATTTTTTATCAAAATTGATACTGTATTTAAATATTTTAATACATACCAGGTGCACTTTCTTGTGAGGCTTGCGCTGATTCCTTTTCGCTGTCGGTGTTTGCAACCTCTGATACTTTCTGAAAAGTAAATAATGTTTTGCGAGAAGTTTTCTTATAAAGTTATGTTATTTATTACTAAAAATCAGATTTTACAAAATTTGTATTGTTCTGTCTTTATTTATTATCTTGTATTTTTGTTTGTAATCCATAAAGTTTGTTCTATTCTGTTTTTTTATGGACGAACTTGACTTTTCCTAGTTGGATTTTCATTGAACATCAAACTTTAGATCCTGGGTAGAGTTGCAATAGTAGGTACGAGAGGTAGGAAGGAATACTCCAGATTATTCTTACGAGCCATAGGACGTCCACTGCTGAACATAGGCCTCCCCCAATGACTTCCATAATGACTGCTTGGTAATGGCCTGCGTCCAGCGCCTTCCTATTTCGTCATCAGTGGACTTTTTTTGTTTTTTTTTTATCCACAACGAGGAAGCTTTTGGCCTGTATCTCACCTGATGGTAAGTGACGATCAGGCCGAGTTTGAAGCGAGCTTCACCCGGAATCCTCAACCACGGAGGAACTGGCTATCTTACCTCTAATTGCCGGAACACAATAATGCTGTTAACATTGTTGTTATGGCGACAGACTTAGGTAAGATGGTGGTGAAATGATGATGATGAGTCTTATGAGCTATGCTAGCTAACCTTCCTCCCGCGGGTGCGTTTGGGTCTCGGCTCGGGCGGCGGTTGCTCCGCATCCAAGTCTCTGGTGACGCGCGAGCTACCGCGCGTTGCTCGAGGCGCTGCTACTGTTGAATAGAATAAAATAAAGTTTAGAATGCAGGAAAAACATACATACAAACATTTTCACGTAAAATGTTGTCAACAACGAGATGACCCCTTAATTCAATTTATTGTCCGTGGTGCGTAATCTTTTCTTAAAGGTTTTAAACCTTTGTTTGTCACCTGTCATCCGCTTTGCAATGGAGGGAAGTCGAACCTTAATTTCGAACTCCTCCTATATTCTTCTGATTAATTCCGTTGCGGGTCCAATGACAGTTTAACTTTCCCCCGGGACTAACTTGACCTTCACTGGTTGGGTTTTTTTGGCGGTCAAGCTGTAGATCCTGGCTACACAGGAGATGCAGCGGTGGGAATAGTCCCGTAACAACGAGATGACCGCCTCTGTGGTCTAGTGGTAAGACCACCTGCTTCAAACGCAGAGGTCCCGGGTTCGATTCCCAGTGGAAGCAGATTTTTCTGTCCGGCTTGGTTGGTGGTAGGGCTTGTTCCAAGTCCGCCTGGCTAGCTACCACCATCTTACCTAAGTCTGTCGCCATAACAACAATGTTAACAGCATTGCTGTGTTCCGGCAGTTAGAGGTAAGATAGCCAGTTCCTCCGTGGTTGAGGATTCCGGGTGAAGCTCGCTTCCACCTTCGGCCTGATCGTCACTTACCATCAGGTGAGATACAGGCCAAGAGCTTCCTTGTTGTGATATAAAAAAAAAACTAAACATATAGCTCCCACTGTGAAGTTATCAGATCTCATGTAGAGCCAAGCTTCTAACTCTACACCTTAGTTAAAATGTTGATGGTTGATGATATGTGAAAAAATCACTGTTCATTATAATGTTATACAGTTACTGTAGTAATGAAATGGCCAAAGTTTTATTTTAGCATCTTTTCTAGTAGACCACTTTCCTGAATAAGTATCTATACCAAACTATCAACATGAGTTCAGTGGTTTTACCATAGTGTAAATGTTGTAACTGAACATACATATTATGAACACCCTGTATATTATACTCACCTGGAGCTGTGTCAGTTTGCTTCCTGGTGCGAGTGGTGCGGCGGCCTGAAGACTCCTCGCTGGACTCTGTCTTGTCTTTGGCTGCTGCCTTTCGGGGCCCTGTGATGATAAACTAATTAGTAATCAACCTTTACTAAAATGGGGAAAAAAATGTTAAGAAAATCGAAAGGAAGCCAGTAGATAAAAATCCTACTGCTGAATAATATTTATAGGTATAATACAATTGATACACACAAATGATGGTCAAGAGATTATAATAAGGAACATGGTGATTTAACAGTGTGTACAAAATTTTACAGGTCTTGATTTTTCTTGCAATTTATTGCTTGTCTTAATCAAACTACCAATAAAGTGTAAAAGAGTCCTTTCAGCTTATTAATGGAAGAAGAACCTACATTTTCAATTACACCAATTAATTTTCAGTAAATAGAAGAACTTGAAGTTGTTGCTTTTTGAACAGTCATTGCTTGCATAAACTTACATTATTGACTAATGGTTTCTATACAAATATGAGATTCTATACAAAAACGTGAGCTATTAGAGTAGGCGCACACCGTTGATTTTTCGTCGGCCGATAGTTGTCGGGCAGTTGATCAGTATGGGCATGTATGGGAGTGCGCACACTACGCCGATTCGATTTGGCCGATTCTTCATACAATTTAAAATCGGGCACAACTATCGGCCAACTAAAAATCAACGGTGTGCGCCTACTCTAAAAGTTAAATAAAAAATACTTACTAGGTACAGGCGCGGCGGGCGGCGGCATAGCAATATCGTCCTTATTTGGTTCTNTCGGTTCCTGTTTGACTTCAATATTGAGTGGCAACGACTCCATGTCCATTGGTTCAGGGGGTAGTGATATTTTCTCTTGTTTGACTGAAAAAGAAATAAACATTAGAAAATGAAACTAAGCTAAAGAACTAGTTTTTACCAGTGGTTTCATCCATATGAAATTGAGTTTAGTCGGATTTTTATAAATTCAGCCTCTAAAGTTATAAATTAATGTTAGCAATAATACTGTAGTTTTATCAAAATCCATTCAGTTTTTGTTTACTGAGTAACAAACAAACTTATACAGTATCCTTGAACATTTTACACTGCACCTCTAAACCCAAACCCAAACTAGGCAAAGTTCTATTTAGATAGAATATTTAAAACAAGCAAGAAAAGTCAGTTATATTTGTCAGTAAATCTAAGGATTAAAGATCTTATTTGTAAGTAAAATGTGGAAGTAAAATTGATAGAACATTGGAACACATATTTTAATTGCAAAATGTCATCTCNGTCTTGGGTGGAATCATGTGTCGTGCATATCAAAACCAACGACGTGGAATAGAGTGGTGTATAATCGGAGTCTTAGAAGACTTAGATTATGCTGATGACCTCTGTTTGCTGAGCCACACGCATCACGATATGCAATCCAAAATTGATGACCTACATCGAGAGGCGGGCATCACGGGGCTCAAAATTAACTGCCGGAAGACCCAAGAGATGCGTTCTGGAGTGAGGAATTGCACACCATTACGGATTGGTGCAGAGGATGTGGAACGTGTCCACAATTTTACCTACCTCGGNATGCGCGGCGCACAGCGGCCGCCGCTCGCTCGGAGCACAGACCTGTGCGCGAACAGCTTCCTGTTGGCCACGTTGAGCACCACGTCGCACAGCTCGCGGTGGCGGCGCAGCGCGGACAGCTCGCCGAGGGAGCGCGCGGGCTATGCGCGGCGCACAGCGGCCGCCGCTCGCTCGGAGCACAGACCTGTGCGCGAACAGCTTCCTGTTGGCCACGTTGAGCACCACGTCGCACAGCTCGCGGTGGCGGCGCAGCGCGGACAGCTCGCCGAGGGAAAAGCCAATTTTCTACGATACATATTTAAAGAGTAATGCAAAAAATTAAACACGTAAAAAAGTTCATTTTCCTGTGAAATTGGAGGCGTCTGACGCAACCTGCTCCCGTGACGCTTGGCCGGCAACTGACAGGTCGAGACACGTTCGCGCTTATTCGTAGGCACAAAGTGCGTTGGAATTAGCGTGGTAAGTCGAATAAGTTCTATGTAATTACGCTGTTAGTATTTACCCCTGTTAAAACCAGCCCCAGTCTCCCCTACTAATTAACTCGACGATCACTCGGATATTGTTTGCGGAGCCGCCACTGTTGGAAAATTAACACCCTAATTTTGTTAGCCTATAAGAACCATCCAACAATGAAAAGAAGGTAATATCATTTAATGCCTATAACAGTCCACTGCTGGACAATAGGTCCTTCCCTAATATGCGCCATTTTATCCTGCCTTCGGCTTCGGCTACCGCTTCTGCAGGCGATCTTTTGCAAATCGTCCCACCTAGTTTAGACGGTATGTAGTAAGGTTGCATAGCACAGCCTTTTTATTTGTTAGTCTAGTCCCGAGCTCATCTAAAACTCAGTTATGTAGAGTAGAGGCTCCATTTGATAGCACTAATTAACTCAACGATCACTCGTGCAATTATTTGCAGAGGCGCCCCTATCGTAAAACCAACACCATCAATTTTGTTAGCCCACCGCAGGGAAAGGGACGATACAAATAATTTATGGGTTTGGTGCAATTTTTCTGCTTTTATTTTGTGCAGTTGTTGCTTTATTATTCATGAACTATAAGTGACAAATACCAGACAATAAACAAAACAACGTCTACTACTACAATTAAATATACTACTACTACTATATGCTTAGTTAGAGCACAAAATAGAGTAACTAATAATAATATGTACTCGTATTTCTCCTGAAAGAAGGGAAAATGAGCATAACAACTGTCTACATGAGTGTACCTTAACGGGAGTGATTGATGGATTTTAAATATCCCTTTGGCGTGGGCGTGAAGGTAAGTAGACTGTCAAACATCGACGTAATAAGTACTCATCATTTCTAATGCTCAACACGAGTAAGTATACCTACCTAAGTATTATGATTTCAGACTGAAAAATATCTGAAATTCAGCTGATAGTAGGTAGGTAGTTAAAATGTGTAGAGATAATGCATTAGAAAACACAAAATACTTAGTTGATAAAGTGCTAATAAAACGTCGTTACTCGATTAAGTGAGCGTGTTAGGAATGTACGACATACTACGGTTTTTGTTGTTTTTTTTTAAAAACAAAAACAGATGGATTGTCAGGGGACAGTCATTAAATTTTGCAACTTTAGTGGAAGGGATTTAAGCGTCCTTGCTCTACATACACTTAATATCGCCTTAAATAATGATTTGACGCATATTTCACAGTACTTAACACAATTTTACCTCGCTCATGGCCGAACAGCATTTTCCAAGCGCAAATAACAAAAACGTAAAGTTTCTGTCGAGTTTCACGATTGGTAATTGCCACTAAATATAAATACCGAGGTTTTCTGTCACACACACTCAAATAACCGGTACTTGCAAGAAAATTACGAGTTAACAGTCAGTAATTTTGCTCGCGTGACCTAACGTTACGAAGAAATCATGCGAAAACTGGAGGCGAAATTGCGAATCTTTTAGGTTATGTCTGTTGATCGTGTTAGAAATTACTCACGTTCATCCGGCGGTTTGTTGCCGAGAGCGAGATCCCTGAATCCCCGCCAGTTGACGGTGTAGCGTCCGCTGCGTCGCACCATCATCGAGGTGCGGTGTGGAAACGCGGTGCGGATGCGGTACGGATGCGGTGGCGAGGCGTCGGGCCACTGCCGCTGGCTGGTTTAGCATAGCCGGCTAGTGCGACGCGGCAGGCGTGCGCGGTATCGACGCGCCGACGCGTCACGCGGCCGCCGTCAGCTGAGCGGCACGTCACAGCGCCGCCCGCCCAACCGCACTACCGCGCTTGCGCACTGAAACCGCCCCGCACGTTACGCTGCGAGCGCATTGTCTGACGATAAACTTCTCGGATGTCTTTTTTTCAGTTATGATTGTATAATACCACTTAAAATAAACAATGTTTCTTTCTTTCCTGTTGTGTATTTTTATTGACCTTTCATAAGTAAAAGACATCAACGACTAAAGAACAATTTAAAGTGATTAAACTCGTATTTACACCACTTTACAAGTTTGAAGCTACTAAGAAAAACAAATATTGTCCACTCTCTCATGATGCTGGAATAGCCTTCTTAGGGTGTTTAAGTATTGACTAAAATAAACATACAAACTTACCTACTTTACTCCCGATATAATTTATCCATCTACGCTACAATTCGAGTTAAGTATTTTATTCGAACACGATGTTTTCATGTGTGACGGGAAGGGATTAGAAGAGGCTCGCGACAAAAGTTCTGCTAGAAATAAGTCAACGCTTACCATTCAATACGATCATGACCTAGGTACCTAACCATTGACTGATAATTTAAACTAGAGATGAAACGGATAGTTGTTTGGCCGGATACCGGATACCGGATATCCGGCCAGCTGCTCGGCCGGATAGCCGGATATCCGGCGGCCGGATAGTNCGCTCGGAGCACAGACCTGTGCGCGAACAGCTTCCTGTTGGCCACGTTGAGCACCACGTCGCACAGCTCGCGGTGGCGGCGCAGCGCGGACAGCTCGCCGAGGGAGCGCGCGGGCTATGCGCGGCGCACAGCGGCCGCCGCTCGCTCGGAGCACAGACCTGTGCGCGAACAGCTTCCTGTTGGCCACGTTGAGCACCACGTCGCACAGCTCGCGGTGGCGGCGCAGCGCGGACAGCTCGCCGAGGATGGCGCGCGGGTGCTTCTCCGACGTATGCGAGAGACGCGCGCCGCCGACGCCGCCGACGCCGACGCCGACGCCGACGCCGCCCCCACCGGGCGACCCGCCCTCGCCCATCCTGACAACGTCATTTCACTTTAGTGAAAAAGGAAACCAACCCGGATCGTATTGCACTCGAGCGAAGCGCGCGCGAAGCTTAGAACGTGCTGATAGGCTTACATTGTAACATAAAGAGAGATCACACAAATACAATCACGTCTTACATTATCATAAAAGATAATAATTATCTTAATAATTATTATTATGCCACAATCTGTAACGATTCACGAGATATTATTAATGTTGTTTAATTTCCTCCTCACAAACAGTGAAACTGTCTGCTGACCACACAACTTAATAAAGCAAACTGTAACTAATAAAGCATAACATTGATAGTCTCGCTTAGTTAAGGTATGGGTGGTATTAGGGCCTTGCCACACTGGCGGATTACAAACGTTTTCAAAGCGGAGAGGCGACGCAGCGAACACGCCGCGTCATCTACCACAATAATTTTAAAAAGACTTTCCTTTTTTTTCAATTATTTTTTTAAAACAGTACCTAACAGTGAACAGTTTTCACTTTTTTTATTATCACACTAGCTGACCCGGCGAACTTCGTACCGCCTTAGCGTAGAGATTTTCTTAATATTTTTTTCCATAAGAACCATCCTTGGACTTCTACAAACATTAAAAAAAAAGAATTATGGAAATCGGTTCAGCCGTTCACACGTGATGCCGTGACAACGCGAAACGGGTTTCATTTTTATATATATAGATTAGAGATGAAACGGATAGTTGTTTGGCCGGATACCGGATACCGGATATCCGGCCAGCTGCTCGGCCGGATAGCCGGATATCCGGCGGCCGGATAGTTGGCCCATTGTCTCGTTGCATGTCGTGACGAGTTTAGCGCCGCACAGGTGCTTCGAACGCGATCAATGGGTCTATTAGTAGACTAGACTAGTCACACTTAAGAAGAAGGGAAATGGATCAGATAAATTTGTAGGGAGTCAAGCAAAGCGCCCCGGGGAAAAGAAAAGAGCCCAGTCAGAGCAAGTACCCGCGCGCTCTCCAGAGATTCGGTTCGTACGCCGTGAGGCAGGAAGAACCATGGGTGGTGGTAGTCACACTTTTCGAAAATCGAATCAGTCCGAATAGAAAGTCAGATTTTACCACTTGTCTAGGGGGCAGATCAATTCGGGCGATTTGAAAATTAAATTAGTTTACTTGCTGCGTAATCTGACTGAACTGCATCATGACATCAGACCATCAGTGAAAAAAATATTGCCTATTTTATTTGGCAATATTTCGACTTAACAGATATTTACTATTTATACAGTGTGAGTCACGTTAAAGTGTACATATGAAAATAGATGAAACAAGACCTATTTTTATCGACAAAAAAGAGGTCAAAAAAATTTTTTTTGACCTCTTGAAAAGAGGTCAAAATGCGATTTTTGGTTTTACAAAGATAATACGATAGAGAATAGTACAAAGTAATAAAAACCACCTGTTATAGGGGCATTTTTTGGAGAAATTTATCAAATAACCAAAAAAACACGAATTTAAAAGCAGTTTTTTTTTCAAAAATTATCATTTTTTATTATTTGTGGGCATTTTTTGTGTATTTTATGTATTTTTTTAGTATCGCCTGTTATTTAGCATTATTACTGTTTTTATTTTATCAGGATATACCGCTTAGTTTAAAAGTTATTTTGTTTTCTTTACAATAAGTAATTGGAAGAAAAAAAATCTATAATTTTTTTTTTAAAAATCTCAAAAAAATTTTGACCTCTTTTTTGTCGATAAAAATAGGTCTAGTTTCATCTATTTTCATATGTAAACTTTAACGTGACTCACACTGTATGGACTTTAAATAAAAGCTGTCATTCATTATACAGGGTGGAAACGTTAAGTGATCTCACTCGATTATTTCGAAACTATACAAGATATCGAAAAACTGATTACTGATTCTGAAAGTGCTTTACGAGCTCTTTCAAACGATATCAGTAATAGGTTACAGAATTAACTGGATCTATCCGAAAATTCAATGTTTTCAGCCTCCATACTAAATGTATGCCACTATGCCAGCCACACAATATTAGAAGTGTTAATTTTTTTTATTTTAAATAATAAACACTTAAAATTAATTCGTGAATAGCATTCTTATTTAAAATTATTCACGGAAAACATTGGTTTTAGGCTTTACTTGCTATAATATTATCAAGACATGAGTGCTATGATTGTGGCAGTATTAAATGTATGGAAGCTGAAAACATTGAATTTGCGAATAGATCCAGTTTATTTTATAACTTTTTATTGGTACCATTGGATAGAGCTCGTGAAGTACTTTCAGGATCAGTTTTTGGATATCTTGTATAGTATTTAATATTATGAGGTTTTACTAAATGTATGGAGGCTGGAAACATTGAATTTTCAGATAGATCCAATTTATTATGTAACCTATTATTGGTACCGTTGGATAGAGCTCATGAAGTACTTTTAGGATCAGTAAGCAGTTTTTGGATATCTTGTATAGTTTAGAAATAATCGAGTGAGATCACTTATCGTTTCCACCCTGTATTATAAGCCATTTTATTGATGTTTACCTCAAAGATTAATGTATTTCATTTTATTAATAGGAATTTGTCGTAGTTTTTTAATATCCGGTATCCGGCCGGATAGTGAGTTACTATCCGGTATCCGGCCGGATAGTAAATTTAGGCCGGATATCCGGCCTACCGGATAGTTGCCGGATATCCGTTTCATCTCTAATTTAAACGTTTATAAGTTATCGTGCTAAGTCACATGGACGGCAAATCATGCCAGTAGGTCACACGTACGACAACTATAATTTATTTGTAACATCACAAACACAGTACCTACTTAGTTATAAATCTATAATATAAAAATGAATCGCAAAATGTGTTTCTAAGCGCATAACTCAACAACGCCTGGACCAATTTTACCAATTCTTTTTTTTAAATGTTTGTTGAAGTCCAAGGATGGTTTTTACAGAGAGAAAAGTTTGAATAATTTCCGGGTAAACCCTAAAAAACTCGAAACTTCACCCCTAACGGTAAAACGGGGTCCACGCGTACGAAGTCGCGGGCGGCCGCTAGTTACTAATACATGTAAACTTTTCTGCGGATTAATTTCATCTACGACACCACCGACGGCAAAAAGTCGTGATCAAAAAAGATTGATCACGATTTTTTGTCGTCGGTCATTGGGCACGGTATTCCCGTTTCACGTTCCACACTGAAGCAGACGCTCACCGTTGACGTTGACTGACTCACGCCGCCTATTTACAGATTTAAAGCATCATAATACTTCATGCGCTTCGTAATTTTTCACGCTCAATCTACTCGACGAAATTTTACGGCTGCTTGGCGACTTAAAGAAAATTTAATGATGTTTATGTTCTAATTTGGGAGCGTGTATTTGTTCCTTCATAATGTTGCTGGTTTATTAGCTGTTTGTAAAGCAATCTGAAACTGATTATCCTACTTGGTAACGTAGTGGTTAGAGTTGAACTTTTCGAAGTGCTTGGCTCGTTTTTCAAGCGCATTACCTATTAAATCTTTTGGAATGGATTTCAGTTTAATTGGGATTACTATGAGAGAGATATTTAAGAATTCTATGAAGCTAATTTTGAGCTTCAGAGCCATTTGTTTTTTTGCCATCAATCACGATTATATTTTTGGCATCATTTTCTTTGTATTGTGTCGGTTCTAGGAACATCGTCTGTGTCAGGTAGTAGACGTGTGACATGGATAAATGTTGAATCACTGTCTAGTGTCCTATTCCAAGCCACGTATAAATATAGCCAATTAAAAAAAGTATTTAGAAAGACACTAAAAGATGAGGGCACGTATTATGTCTGCTATCCGATAGAGAGTTGTCAGCGAATCTAAGCGAATCATAAAATCACACTATAGCAATAGAAGGAAAAAAAGGCATTCCTGAAAAAATTTGATTAGCTTCAACTTCACTTACTTCTATTTGTTTTGATCAGCCGGTAAAAAGATGTATTTTCAAAAACACAAGAAGTAATAATAATTACTGTTATGATAAGTGTTGTTTTCACGATACAGTACTCTGTAAGACGTACAGCACGTACAAACGTATCATGTTTGTTATTTCGCATCTAAATTTAAATTCATGAAAGATATGAAAAATAGGTAAGTAATCAAATAGTGACGCACATAAAATATTACGATCGCCGATAAAACTTCGCGGCACTTAGGCACATTTCGATATGTTGATATTATAGGTTCTTTATTTTTAGAGAGGATGCTCCGTTAAAACTTTACACGTGTACGCAGTGTTTCATTAATTTGTTTTATTGACACATATTTTATGGGATTTGGATAAGGCAGTCGTCTTGATTCGTATTTTTAAGCCTCTTATCATGAAAGCGTAAAAGTTTTCTTTATTCTCTTATTTATTTACTCATAAAATCACCGTTAGCTCACCAAACTAATATCTGCCATCTCTCTCTGCCAAAGTCAAATCAGGCGGAGGCTATGAAAGAGAGCCGAGAAATTGATACCAAAGGACATTTTATGTGCGCATACATACAGGATGTCTTAAAAAAATAGTGTCAAGCCGAAGCCCAGAGTTAGAACATCACTGGGGCTACCTGAATCACCCCCATGTACCTGTGTTTCGCGACTTTTTATAAATTTTCGAGTTACGATTTTTTTAAAAGAAGTTTTAAAGAGAAGAGAAACTGTAAAAAAATATCGAGTAGCCCTACTGATGCTCTACCTCTGGGCTTGGGCTTGTCACTATTTCTTGGGACACTGTATAATAATAGTATGACTAAAATCACTAAAACCATAAGACAACTAGGGGTCCGTACTCATATGACTTTATTACCTACTCAGATACATTAAATAATGTTGATGGCGTTACTTTATGTTGACGATTATACCACAGAATAATAATACCTAAGTATTATACCGAATAGCAATTTGATTATCGAATGTTACCTTATCTTGGTGTTAATCGATACTTTGCGACATACAGAGACGCAGTGCAGATGTTTGTAGGGACTTCTTTGGTGGAAAGTAGTACTAAGGTGAGCGGACCTTATCGCTACCATGAAAAACACTTTATTAGACATACATTTCACATATAAGCTACACTCAATAATTATGGCTAA